TTCCGAAAAAAGATATCTGGAGGTCAGAATGTTTTTATTGCTGAAAATACTCTCAAATCTAATATCAAAAAAATTCTTATTTTTACAGATGAATACAGGCAATGATCGAAGTACTATAAAAGTTTGATTTTTGACAAAAAAGTAGAATTTTGTGAAATTTTACACTTTTGATTAAGGAGGTGAGCGCCTTAACGAACTATATCATTAGAAGAATTTCTTATGAAAAGTAACAAAGCTTAGATTAAAACTATTTTCACCTTACAATAGAAGAAACAAAAAATTACTACAATATATCAGAGACTGTTGACAATCAGTAACTATTTGAACCCCAAAAATACACGTTCAAATAATTAGTTCAATAAAATTGTATTAACAGATCCATTCCAAAGGAATTTTGATAATTTTGAAATTGAAGATTTCGCCTCAATCTGAATGAGAACTCAAAGTATGTTTAGAAGTTTTAATATTCAATGCAGGGTCTACCGCCGATTTCTTCAAAACATATTTTGTCCGAAAAAATCACATCCTTACCAGTATTCAGTTTTGGAAATAAATTTTCTGTATATAATTACAATAGAAGCTTTTAAGATAAGATTTTAGATTTTTTTATGACTTGTTAACCTACGACCCACCGAGTCGGCTCCGACGGCTATCTTGTCTACAGTAATAAAAACAGTACAGAAGTTATGATACCGCTACTTAACTCATTTTGCGACAATTTAATTTTCAAACTACATAAAAATCAGTATATTACTATCTGTTCAAATTTGAAACAGACTGTTACATTTAGCTTGAAAGTCATCTTGTGAGCATCACAGAGAGAGCAGAGCATCTCAACATTTCTTATGGATCGACTCAACAAATTTTGGTCACCGTTTTGGGCAAGAAATATAATATAGATAATACTGGACTCGTATCAAAATAACTGAATATTTTGCAAAATACGACATTGAGACATAGCGCTTCGAAAATTAGCTGAAACCAAAAAAAATTAAACAATTCGCTGAAGGCACAGAAGGCCATAGCTGGCGAGGCTTATAACTATTTTGAATGAAACATTTTTGAAACAATAAAAAACGCAATTCAAAATACTTTACATCAAGCTTTCTGATGCAACGTATATCATTCAAATAAGAAACATAAATTAATGTATAAAAAGTAAGTGCGCCCTCTCAATACCCGACGTACTTTATGGACAGATCGAACGTAATTTTTAAACTAAAAAAAAATATAAATTACAAGAATGAACCACTTTAAACATTTCAAAATATTTTGTGCCTTAATTTTTATAGAATTTTGCGTTTTCTATAAAAAGGATCAATAACTCAAAATATGCTCAGTCGTAAAAGAAACGTTGTTAAAAAATTTTACTCTACGTATTCCGAAAGAAATTTAAATTTGCCGGCGAGTAATGCATTAATTTTACAAAAAATATCTGCCATGAAATAACTACTCAAATTAACGACAAAAAAATGTCATATAGCGACTTTTGAAAGCTTAAAACATATTTTTCAAATCATAGCTGATAAATCAAATGCTTATTAATTATATAAGGGAGAAGAAATATATGTAGGTGGTCGTGCCATCCTCAAACAGATGAGACGAGTTTCCTAAAGAAATTATTTTATTATTATTTCTAAAATTTTCAATTCAACGATTTATATCATTCATGGGAAGACCTAGAGTGGCAGGCTAGCAAACCGCATATACTCGTACGTACATATAAAAAGTATTCATATATCTGCTTATAATTTATAAAAACGTTAATGTCATATTTATAACATATATATAACGCCTTGTGACGCTTTATACCTGCAATATTTTTGTGTTGTTTTGTGTAGATAATCCGCCTTGGGAGTGAATATTTTGAAAACGTATAAGCTTTCTAAATCACTTTGTTTATTTGTAGTTCACTCTTGTTGTTGTTTCTTTCAATATTGCTCAACAAATTACACAAACACACTAACACTATTCAATATTTTTCTATTTAAATATGCCGAGGAAACTTTTACACAGTTGAAAGAGTCGTCAAATATACACGTGAATTCTCGAAAACATATTTCAGATACTTTTTGCAAGCACACAAACAACATCTATCTCAAAAGCGACAAGAACTAATTTTTTTATTGAGTCTTCACTAACAAAAAATATACAAAAAATCGCCTAATGTCAAATTCCAAAATACTTTAAATATTTCGATCGCATCTACACCTACTTTAAGACCGATAAAGACACCGACAAACGCGCGCGTGCTAGAAATATGCGAAGAAGCTCGTTACTTAGCAGGTATTTGTTCATAGCGTACACACTTTCGCTTTCCGGCGTGCAATGGAAGGTATTTGATCGCGCACTCGCTGCACATGAATCGAGTAACGCTTGGAATTCACAAAAGATCAGCTAATTGTCGCGCTTCACATTTAATTGCGCAACGTTGTTACTATTGTTGATTGAATTGCGGCTAGAACGAATTTGAATGACAACGCGGATGCGACACTGGGCCGCGGTTAAATGATGACTCGCCAACTAACGTCAATAGGGGAATACACGTTTCCCTTGCACACTACTCAGATGCTGCTGCCACCGTTTTCAGCGCGCAACGTCTTCAGATTTCGAATCAGCGCGAACTACACATTTAACATGCGCTGAGATACAAACAACACTGCCAGCGCCCAGCTGTTGACATTACCGCTAGACGCAGTGCGCGGACAGCGCCATGCCAAGTTGTGGCGGCGAAGCTGTAGCAGGAAAGAGCTAACTCTACTCTCTCATAAAATACGCGTTTTGTGAGCGCTGATTGGCGGAAAACCCGTTTCGCTTACAACACAAGCGCGTTGTTGCATGTGTTTGTGTAAAATAAGCCACGCCTACCGCGCTTATAATTCTCAATAATTGTGTAATATGGTGTAGGAATGCAGTTCTGGCGTTCATTTTGATAAAAGTTTGCTGCCGCATTCACTGCAGAAGTGTGCGAGAGAGCAAGAGTATGCATATGTGTGTGCCTGTTGAAGAAGTAGAGCGCAATGTGTTGTTTGTAAAAGTAAGAAGGGTGTTGAAAGGGTGGCTTTTTTTGTTAATTATTGTTGTGTGCGGAAGAAAATGGCGTCGCTCAAATGCAAGCACATACATATCAAATCAAAAAGGAATGGACTGATACACCTTTACTGCTTGTTGGTGTGCGCTGGCGTTGTTGTTGTTGTTGTTCGTTGGCAACATAGTGCATCAGCAGAAAATCTTGTAAAGGTCACGAAGCTCAGGTGAACTGATGAGTATCTCGATTTGTTGTTGAAAAAGAGGAGGTTTATTGATACATGTAGATTTTGAAATAATTTTTTCTAAAAACTTTTCGCGAAGAGTTTTAAAATTTTAAAATGTTTATGCTCGATTACACAAAAGGTTGAATTAGCAAATTCAAAATATGTAGATCGGTGGAATACAAGTTTACTCGCTTAATATTAAAAATATGTTGAAAGAAAAAACTGCCCCCAGAAAGAAATTCTGCATTCGCCACTGAGATAATTTGACGAAATACGTTTGCATACATACATATGTATAGGTTAGGTTAGAAGGGCGATTCAAAAGAGGAACAAATCTGTAAATACTCCTAAGTAAAGGTCGCAGGCCATTAAGCGTTACCAAGGAGACACTGAGCGAAGGCGAACCTGCTTTACATCATATTTATATAAGTAAATTAGTCGATTTCGAAAACACTCAAACTGCCTTTACAGTGAAAAAGTTATTTACAGTGCAAGTGCTTTAGAAATAAGGTTTTATGCAATATTTCGAAATTTTTTATTGTACCGTTATCAAAGGGTTGACGGTTGCAAGTTCGACTTGGGAAAGGAGGTGGCTTGGATGGTTCGATTGCCTTCGACCAAGTGTCTCGAGAAGATAGAAAATGCAGCTCGCAATGCTCACTGAAAGGCCTTCCATTTTAACCGAAATGAGAAAAAATTACAAGAAAGATGTTTTTTATTGTAAGCGAAGGGAACCCCGTTCGAAATGGTTTCTAGATGCATAACGCACCGGTCAGAGGGGCTTAGCCCAAAATAACCAACTTGCGGATTCTCTTGAAGAAAGTTATAAGAAGACTGAATATCATGCCTCTTTTTGTGATGGACCACCTGTGGTGTGGCGAGAAAAGAAGAGGTTAGCCTTATGGGATGGCGACTTCTATGACTTTGACTTCTACGTTGTCAGATATTGAAATGTTTCGAAATAGAAATGTTGGATGCTGATCAAGAAGAATTGATATACAATATTTTAACCCGTGGCACTACATAATTATTCATTAATTATATTAATAAAATATCAATCAAATATATATACATATAATTAATATAACAAAAATCAAACTACAATTTTGTGAGACTTTTTTGTAAAAAATAATTAAAAACTTGGTTATTTGAATTTTTCACATATAGTGGAATAAAACTTGTAGATCTTTTTCTTACATAACATAAAATTTTGCCATTTAACTTTATTCCATAGGACGCGTGGTTTTGCCGGGAATCGTGATAAACCGCTTTTAAGCCTTAAAAATTGAAACACCCTGCACTTCCGACTCTCTTCGACCTCAAATCGCCCGTAAATTATTTTTTTTTCATTTTTGTTATAATATTTTATCTTTTTTTGTTTTTGGTTTGAAAAATTATCGAGTTTGGTCTAACATTTACATTCATATTTATAGTGTTATAATTTATATAACAGTTAAAAAAAATTATACTACCTCAAAACTAATGTAATTTTATGTTACATGTAAAAAAAATTTAATTTTTTTATTTCTATTATTTTAAACAATAATAATAAATATACCGCTATTTTCTAAAAATTATGATTGATTTGCAACTATCTGTTGCATTTTTGTGTCAGAAACGGTGCTTTTTTTGAACGCATCCAAATATAAAGTGGTCGGTTTTATTCTTTCGTATTCTCTTTTGGAATCTACAGAGAATATTTTAATGTAATTCCATTTTCCGCTTGCTTAAAAAAAACAACAACGATTTGTTTGTGAAGATGTCGTCTTTATTTCAGTCTTAACACCTATATAATTGAAATGTGGACACCTTTTACACTAAAGCGGTTAGACAACTTCTGGAGTAACTACATAATTAAGTAAATTGTTGGATAAAAAAAAATTAAATAAAAAAAGAACCTTTAAAAAGATCAAATGGAAAATCTTGTTTCGAATGATCAAGGGTAAGATAATGATGTCACTAAGGAAACTGAGCAAACACAAAATTTATTTGAAACCCATTAGCAAAGTCCGCGTTGATTATTTCCCATTTATTTTTGGTTTTTGTGCATAAACATCAAACATTTAAGGCGTTAATCGTTTGGGATCACGTGGGAACATCGATGTTTTTCGAATATTATCAAGCCCTAGATAGAGCATGACAACACGCTCCATGCCAATACCACCACCAGCATGCGGTGGGCAACCAAAACGGAACGATTCAATGTATGACGCAATCTTTGAAATATCTGTAATGAAAAGAATGATAGAGAGCAAACAATTAGTAAAGGAAATGCTGAAAGCGTCGCGCTTAAAAGCACTTACCGATCGCATGATGTTTTGCGCGTTCAATAAGGAAGTCGGGATCGTGTATACGCTGCGCACCAGAAAGTATCTCTTCGCCACGCATGAACATATCATAAGAGTTGGAATATATTGGGTTGTTGGGATCGGGCATCGTATAGAAAGGACGAATAGCCAGTGGAAATTTGTCCAATACATAAAAGTCGGTGTCATATTTTGCCTTAACAAGCCGGCCCAACAGCTTTTCGTTTGGTGTCGACAGATCTTCCTCATCACCGGTTTCAACGCCAGCTTCACGCAACATTTTTACACCTTCAGCAAATTCCAATATCAATGGCGGCTCCAAGAATTTGAATGCCTCTACTTTAAATTGCTGATTTACTGCCGCAATTTCCGCGCTATAATTATCACGCAAACCCTTAAAAATGCCAGTAAACGTATCAGCAATAGTGTGCAAGACCTCGTGGTAGTGATATTTGAATGCCATCTCCAAATCGAGACCGACGAATTCAGTCAAGTGGCGATGAGTGTTGGAGTCTTCTGCACGAAAAACTGCGCCGACAGTAAAAACTTTATCGAAATCAGCAGCAATAGCCATTTGCTTATATAATTGCGGTGATTGTGCCAAATAAGCCGAGTCTAGAATTGAAAGCAGTGTGGGTTAACTATGGTAAAATACGGAGTAAACGGTTGTTTACCTTTGAAATAGCTAACGGTAAATACGTTTGCGCCACCTTCACTGGCAGCAGAAATAATTTTTGGAGTGTGAATCTCTGTAAAGCCTTTTGTAGTAAGAATATCGCGGAACAGACGACAAACGCCGGCTTCCAAACGGAAAATAGCTTGATTGGCCGGTGTACGCAAATCCAACACACGGTTGTCCAGACGTGTATCCTGGTTTACGCGAATATTCAAACTGTCGGTATCCTGGAAGATTGCATATTAGTGTCAGCATATAAATTACAAATATTTATTTGAACATACATCTGGATTTTCGGCGCGGGATGCATCTTCAATTTGTAACGGCAATTGCGGTTTGGCTTGTGAGACCACGAATAGTTGTTCAATACACAGTTCAATCGTTTGTTCAGTACAAGACTCGATTTTGTTGGGCACTGATACAACTTTGGCTTGCACATCGATAATACTTTCTCTGCTGACGCTGTTAGAAATATTTAATTATTAAAATTTTTTTGGAATATTTTGTGAATTACTAACTTACTTGCCGCTAAACTTCACCATTTGTTTGGAAATACGTTCTCCTACTGCCAAAATGCATTGTACGGTGCTGCTCTGCTGACGCAGCACTAAGAAACATTGCTTGCCCTTCGAACGGGATGTATGTACACGCCCGCGCACCCACACCAATTGGTCCCTATGCGCCGGCTGGCTCAATTCGTTCACTGACACAAATTTGCGATCTTCAAACTTATCTTTCGATTGAATAAGACCAGAAGAACCATATCGATCTGCTGACACATCAACGCTATCACCAGCTTCTTCACCATTGTTTGAGTTGGCTGCTTTATGTTCAGCTTTCTGATAACACAAAATAATAAGTTAGCTTTACATAAAATTTCTTTATTTATTTATAATTTATTATACCTTAGCAGCTTTCAATGCTTCTTTCGCTTGCTTCTTGGCTGCCTTTTTTGAAGTCGTCTCGCCTTCAAGTGCGCTCGCACCAGTCGCTACGTTTTCCTTATCAGCTACCATACTGAACTTTTTCTTTCGTCTAAAAATTGAAAAGCACAAAAATGACAACAAGATCATATAAAATATTCATGCAAGGCATAAAAACAACAAGTCAAACTACAGATAAACTATTTGTCACTTCATTCGTCACCGCAACTGGCTGTAAGCGCCAAAGTACCCCACAGTAAGTATAAATTTTTTCGGGGACGACGAGCGGGCGGCTACATTTCGTATTTGGTTTCGCTATTGCGTCATGTTTACAATTTAGTTTTTTGCAAATTAAACAATGGGAAAACTTTAGTATAACGTCCCACGCTTTCGGGGATAAAATGGGTATGGGCGGATAGAGGAGATCCTCCAGATCAAGAATATATATAGATATAGCCGCGGGAAACTTATAGTTTTCGAGATATTTGGGTTTAAAGTTCAAAATTTCGACTATTTAAAGTACGCATTTTTCCCATTTCGAATGAGTTATACACTTATATTTTCCACTTTTATATCCACTAACACTTCACTAATTCGTTTGTACACATGTTTTTTACATTATATAGTGCAAAAATAGTTTAATTTAATAATTAAATTATTGTTAAATTCTATTAATTCTGACAATAACAAAAGGGTTGCAAAATTTCAAATAACCAGTGTTACCTTATCGACATCTTTTGTAATTGAACTGAAAGAAATTAAAACAGATAATACCCCAAATGCAGGAATCCAAAACCTAGAGAAATAAACTATAACAAAGCATTGATGTTAAGTATTATGTTATACCATCTATGACAATAATCCTTTTTTCTTGTAGAACTTCTTTTTGCGTTGGCGGCCTTCGGCCGCGCTTCAAAAAAAATTACCCTGGTCGGTCCAACACCGGGGTGTATCAAAATATTTTTCGTGCAGAACTTCTTTTTGCGTTGGCGGCCTCGGCCGCGCTTTAAAAAAATAACCCTGGTCGGTCCAACACCGGGGTGTATCAAGGTTTTTTGCGCAGAACTCCTTTTTGCGTTGACGGCCTTCGGCCGCGCTTCAAAAAAATAACCCTGGTCGGTCCAACACCGGGGTGTATCAAGGTTTTTTTCCGCAGAACTCCTTTTTGCGTTGGCGGCCTTCGGCCGCGCTTCAAAAAAATAACCCTGGTCGATCCAACACCGGGGTGTACCAAAGTTTTTACGCGCAGAAATTCTTTTTGCGTTGTTTCCTGTATCTAGGGCACAATCTGTGTTTATTTTATTTTTCTTCGTTTACAAAATATATTAGTACGGCAACACTGATGTTTTGACATTCACAACCATTTTGTTATTGTCAAAATTAATAAAATTGAAGAATGATTTAAATATTGAAATAAAGCTATTTTTGCAGCATCTAATATAAAAAAAAATTTGTAAAAACGAATTAGTCAAGTGTTAGTGGATATAAAAGTGAAAAATATAAGTGTATAATTCATTTTAAATCGCAAAAATAAGTACTTTAAATAGTTGAAATTTTCAACTTTAAACGTAAATATCTCGAAAACTATAAGTTTCCCGCGGCTATATCTATATATATTCTTGATCTGGAGGATCTCCTCTATCCGCCCATACCCATTTTATCCACGAAAGCGTGGGACGTTATTCTAAAGCCGACCCTAAACAATTTTCTATTTACACATAAATATTTGGCCTTAGCACGCTTTCAACACATTGCACAGAGAGCTTTCGTTTGCTTTCATTTAGGTTTTTTGTGTGTGATTTTTGATGCACAGCTGCAGCGCCGGTGCCTCATTCCCTTTCTCTTTCAGCTATATAAATCACATGGTACTTGCATCATTAGTTTTGCTAAACTAATTCGCTGTATATAATATACGATTCTTTGTGTTCAAATTGGAAAATTTGTGTTTTATTCACTGCTCACCCTTTTGATAAAGATTTATCTCAGTTTTATACGGAATTTGTGCTTAGAAACACACAAGTTGCAACACCACACACGTTTCACGTCCACTGCATTCCACAAAAGATTAAATTCAATTGTCATTGCGGTAGCAGCTGTGAAATGCGGACGTGTCAGCACAGGGTTGCATGAAAGAAAAACATATTAAATTGATCTTTTGATTGCGATATCTGATATAGTTACACCTTTATTCTTTTTATAATAATGCTAAAAATGTACACGGTAGTATTTAAAACTATTTGCGAACCCATAGACATATTTTAAATACTACTTTTTGCACACAATTTAAATACTTTTAAATATCGTATATGTGTCATCCTGTTTCAAAACATTCCTTACAAGTCTTGCCATATCCCACCAATTAAAATGTACATGTATTGCATAGTTTATTGTATTATAATATATATATATATACTCTCGCATTATGTTAATACAAATATACCAGTAATTTTTTTTGTTTGTTTTCTTTTTTATGGAAATAAACTCAAAAACATTACTTGCTTACTTACCACACTTGTTTAAAGTAATTTTTGTAAAATGTGTCGAATATATTTTTATTATAAAGAGAGAAAGAGAGACTTATATATATATATAAAGCTGATAAACTAAGGAAAATATTTTAAACCTTAAGTAATTTGTTTAAGCAAACTTCGTCTTCTCGAAAAACTAACTTTTATGTCAATAAATTTCTTGTTTTTTCGTGCTATTATAATGTTATTTGCTTTGAAATATTAATTTAACAGTGAACAAGTTTGAAATTTTCGAACATGCATATATACAAATATAGCTTACAACGAAATTGTACATACAATAATTAAATATTTAAACAATAGTGACTTTTTTTGGTTTTGATTGCTCATTTCAATATGTGAATGTGTGTTTACATATTGTTTTATATTCGTTTACATGTAAAAATTGCTTTTAATTTCTTTTATAATTATAAAATGTAATTATCTTTATTTTTACAACATTAGTCATTTAGGAACTGCAATTTCTTTTAGTAAGAAACGTATTACTTTCATATAGCTCTGACTAATTAAGATTTCTACTCAAAGATGACCATTTCCGATGCTACAATATCTGTTTCGTATCATCTTTTTGTTTCATGTAATAATTTAAATTTGCATTATTTGTTATCTTTCGCAACAAAATGGTTATCCCTTGCGCACATTAGTGAGTATCTTAAGGTACACTGATGATCGGTGGGCACTATTTTGATATATATATACATATATTCATAGATACATATGTATATATTGCACAACATTAGTTAGTTAAAGTTATTATCTGCCCATTATTGTAGGCTCATCTGCCATGGCTACCTCATCGTTAGGTGCCTTCGCACCCTTCTTTTTGCCCGAGTACCACATAAAGAGGAGACCACATACTAGATTCACTATAAAAGTGAACCATGCTAAGTAGACGCCATAGCCATATCTGAAAAAAAAATTATATGAAAAGGTTTTAATTTACTAAATTAAATATTAAATACAAAATTTGTAATAAGAAATGCATTTAAAAATATTAAAATAAAAATATTAATATACTAGTAGAAGAGAAACTAATATTTAGTACGTGGTAACACTAAGCGGGTAACTGGAGAACGGTATGGAATCGAAACGAGTAGGTAGGTTGGTTGCAGCAACCGGAAAACGAACTCGTACCGTTATTCGCGCGATTGTGAAAATAAATGTCAAAATTTTAAGCATCTAATTATAGCAACAATAAAAGAAAGCTTTTTTCCGTACAAAAATTTGAATACTTACGTAAGTTCAGCACCCTCGGGATAAGTGTAGAATAAGTGCTTCTTTGTATAATCAACTGATGATTTGAGCACCTGTATAACGACCACGGCAGTAGAGGCGGAAACCAAGTGAATACCACCAGCTAAACGCTTAAACATATAGCGCGGATTCTTAAAAGTGTAAAAAGAGAAAACCGAACCCAAACTCATAACGAACACGGTGATGCAGGCAAAAGAAGCCTGCGTGCGTATATAATCTGTCAAAAGAAAAACAAATAGTGTAAAATAGCTGGTGTAAAAAAAGCAAAACTGCACGCTTGCTTACCCATCAGCTCCATATCGATGCCGGGGTCTTTGTTCAACGACTTGGGGTTACTGAACATGTCAATGTATTTGCAACGTTCTGGAAAAAATGTGATGGTAATTTTCACAAAATTATTTTCTTACATTATTTATGCGACTTGTGCTTACCATTCGGTTGATAAACATAACCGTTCGCTTCGCGACCACTACTTGGTGGTAGTGGTGGCACCAGCTGCAATATCACCTGATGGTCATCCAGTACAAATGCTGGTACGCCCAAATCACGCACATATGGCCAGAAAAGTTTCGGCACATATGGCTTGTCATTCCAACCCGCAAATATTGCTAATTGCGCCGCTTCTGGTATAACAAAATAATATGATGTCGAATTGACCTTGACATTTTGTAGGGCCGTTCCAAAAATTTTTCTTGACTTTATTTCGAGTACATTTAGCGGATCAATTGCGATCGGCTTAGCATTGATGGGTATGGTTTCGGCTTGTGTGGCTGTTGTATTTAATACAAGATCTTCAAAGATTTTTTTGAATGCCTTAAACTCTTCCTCGTCATTACGTACCCAATGCGCAAACATGCGTCGTCTAGCGGACTCTGTGAAATTTTTCATTGGTATCTCCACTATTTCCTCGCTAAATTCACGCACAAACTCAAGTGCTGATGCATTCAATTTGGCATCGATTAACGTTGTAGGGTTCACATAAGCAATGGAGGTGAAATTGCGCACCACATTGGCGGCAGGCAAAGCGTTAGGTGTTTTAGTATGCCGGCAATGCACCCACAAACCGGAGTGTGAGTCCATAAAAAATCGACGTGTCTCAGGTATGAATATGCCTATTGAAGTAAAATATAAATATATTGCAAAAATTAATTAAGACTATGCCTATAAAATATATCAATTCAAAAACAATTTTCGTTTGAATTTTTCAATTATAAATCTGGTATTAAATTGTAATTGGGATTCACATTATTTTATTCATTCCGGTATTTGTGAATAAAAATTTATTAAACATTTTCCAATTCGGTATTTGGGATAAGAAATTATTTTTAATTACGATTTTTGGGAATACAAGTAAAAAGATTTTTCTTTTTTGGTTTAATTAAAAAAATCATGAAAAATCCAGATATTGAATAGGTGGCAAGTACGCGAAAACATATAAATTAAATTCAACATTTAAAAATCGTTTATTTCTCCTCGAACTCTTCGCTACTGATTCGAAAATAAATAATATTAAATTGCTTCCTGTTAACTTTTTTTCAAACATTCTAAAATATGACCATACGTAAATCAAACAATAAATTAAAACAAAAATCAGTATCTTTGCCTAATTGGATATGCTTAGCGGATATACGAGTACAAAGAAGCTAAGGCATCTAATATCTAATAGGTAATTACAAGAGCTGAACAAGAAGACTCGTGCTAAAGGCGGAACGATAGTACGTTCTGGCGGATGTGTAAACTAGTGGCGAATTGCTGCCATAAAACGCTGTTGCTACATATAAACGATCTTTCAAAAATAGGAAAAAAGTGATAAAAGTTCTGTAGTGCGAACAAATAGCTCATAAAATTGTGAATATTGCTCTGCGCAGCCTGTCTCTGATCATTAGCGGCATCGTCGAGCCAAATTGCTTCCTACTTTTAAAGAAAATAATAACAAAAAATAAAAAAATTACAAATCAAAAGTATTCGAAATAACATTGTCACTTAAAATATTTTCGAATTTGTTATCGCCAAAGTTTGTATTTGGTGTGTATGTGCTTCGGTGTGCAAATTTCGCTTGCTATTCAATAGCCAAATGTTATACTATATTTTCTTGGTGATGGAAAATCGAAATGTGTCTACCAAATATATATAAATATTCAATTGGTCGCTGATATTAGTCTTACCTTTTCCCCCGGTTATAATAACCCAATGATCTGTCGAAATGGCAACAATCCACATGATGAGCGACACCACCATCAACACGCTACAACCGAACAGCACACGACGCTGAAACATGTACGCTGCCATAAGTGGCTTGCGTTCCTCCTCGCGTCCAAGTGTTGAGCTGGAGACATCTCGTATCATTTCGCTGGTGTTTGGTTGGTCCTTGCTATGGTACTGCTATTGACAGCAGCTAGGCGTTCAAGGCACAAAAAGCGCTATGACTCTGTGTCGTGTCTTTATCTGCTTGATTGTTAATGCTTCGGGTTTAGTTTCTAACCCTCAGGGCGTATAAGCAACTTTGTGCCCCAGCGGCTGTAACGCTTATACAAAGTGTAAGCGCCAGTTTTGTTTACTTAAAAATGTATGAAAAAGATTTTTGATTATAGCTACGGAGATCATACCAAATAATTAGTGAATAAATATAGCATATTAATATTTTATATATTCGGGCAGAGCAAAACCAAATACTTATACATACATATGTATGAACATACACATGTCTGCTAGAGAAAATTTGACAGCTTACTCGAAAAATGTGTGGCTATAATTTGTTTTGCAAAATTTTTATTTACGATTTATATTTTAAATTTAATATAATATTTTATAAATATTTATAAAATGATCGAATATAACAAATTTTGTATACTACAGACAAGTTTTTTGGAATAATTCCTATTTTCGGTATATGGTCTTTGCGTAATTAAACATTATACTAAATGTATGCTACATCTTATATGCTCATGCCTCTTTTTATAACCTGAAATTTTGCAGACGTCTCTTTGCCCCCCAAGAAGCTGCTCTTTTGTCGGACCACAATAGTCTATAGCTGTCATACAAACTGAGCGATCAATCGAAAAAAAGTTCCATACAATACCTTTTTTATTTCACAAGGTATCTTCATACATATCTTGACATAGTTTATTGTTCAAGGCAACGATACACCATTCCGAATACTTGTATGTTCAAATCGAACAACTATAGTATATAGTAGCTACCATTGAAAGTGACCGTTGGTCCGTTACGTTTTCAGATATAGTTATGCTCGTACATATAGTTGCAATAAAAATGCACCTGTGAAGGGTATGATAGCTTCGATGCTGATAATTATATTTTGTTGTTAGGTCATAATAACAACAGGCCTTCAAAAGCTTTTAGATGAAATCGCTTAGGTTGTGAAAATTACGAGTTTTTATTAAAGTAATTAAGATTAAGAAATAAGGCATGTTTAATCATGAAAAATAATAAGAAACTTTTATATTAGAAATTGATAGTCAACAAAATTTCTTCAACTATTTCATCCATTTCCTCTATTGTTGAAGTCCAATATATTTTCTATTATAAATAATAAAAACTATACAATTTAGCGAATTCTGTTAGCTATCTGCGAAACAAATTGCTGGCCAAAGCGTTTTGTTTCAACAACTTTTATGTGTTTTAAATTATTTTTTCGAAAATTAAATTTAAATTTCTATTTTAATAAAACTGGTAACAGTTCTACGGTTCGTCAAACACGAGCACAGGCATTGCTGTCACCGCTGGCATATTGACGTTGAGTTATGTGCACGCATCATTGCCAAATATGTGTGCGTGGGCGTGTCAAGGTGTGCGTGCAAGCGCGCAAAATTTAACAACTGTTTGGATTAAGATGCGCAAGTGGTTGTTTCTTTAGCTCAAATACATACATACATATATGCATGTGTGGCTGTTTGCAGAAGTACACACTTTGCGCTGCCAAAATAGTTGTCTGCCAAAATGTCAAAATTGCGTGCGACTTAATATTCTACTAATTTATAAGAATGTTTGTTGGTAGATTGGCGTCAACGTTTTAGTTTTCATTTTTCATTTTTCATTTTCGATTTTAAATCTTATTTTTTACTCTTTTGCGGCCTACTTTTTGTTGTTACTACATATATTTACTAAATAATCAACAAATAATTGTTGTTGTTGTGCATGTACGCTTAGCGTTTTATGCGAATATGCTCACGTCGTTAAATCGCATTTAAACAAACAAAAGCTTCATTACCAGAAGTCGAAGCAAAAATCGAAATAGGAAATGTGATTTTCCCGTATGAAATGTGCGATAGTTGGTCCATATGTGCATGTATGTATGTATGTATTTACGCGTATGGTATACCTTGAAATTGAAGCTGGAATGAGAATGCCTACAAATAGATCAATCATCTGAACAAACTGTTAGCTATTTTTAAGTAGCCCAGTGGGAAATACTTTTACATAGTATACATACATATGTATTGGATGTATGTATAAAGGTGCCAACTATTTCACAGCTGGTATGATGTACAAGGCCGATCGATTAACTCTAGTTTTTCCTTACAAGAAAGTGATATTTTAACATTTTAATGCCCTAGAGTTGTCAGCTACCCGATTTTGGTTAAAACATACAAATCTTAGAGTAGTTCAAACTTGATAAAGTCTAGTTCAGTTTATAGCTCTAGAAAAAACTTTTCTTAGTAGTTTGTTTAGGTTCTCCAAAATATTTGTATAAATCTGATCCATTTCTCAATTGTGTGAGTCACATGACTTCGATGAAGCTTAAAAAGTCAGATAAATAACGGTAAATTTATTATTTTTTGTGTCCGCATAATTTAAGATTGATTTCTATCTAGGTTTTCCTACTTTGTAATCATTAAGTATATTATTATATGTATGTAAATATATAGATAAAATAATTATTTTGCTTTTAATTATAAATTTATTTCATTTGCAGATTTTTTATTTCTGTTCGAGGAAAAGTTTGTGAATTGTGAAGTAGGTTTGTATATAAATTTCATTCATTAAATATGTGGTAATTATTAAGAAATGTTGTTGTTTTTCAGTATTTTAAGTGCGTGTGAGAAGATCGGTTAATTAAAAAATAAATAAATAAATAATAAAAAGAAGCAAAATTATACAAAAAAAAACAAAGAAATGGCAGTTAATAAATATTTAAGTATTCTAATATAAATAATAATAAAAATGTGATAAATGTTAAGAAATGAGAAAGAAAAATATGAATATGTCAATTCGGGAATACACAAAAAAAATAAACAATTAATAAAAAATAAAGCAAATTAAAAAAAAATTAAAGAGAAAAATGCTGGCTATAAAAAAGTTAAGTATTCTAAATTAAATTGTATTTAAAAAGTAATAAAAATGCTATTAATGTAAAAACATAAAAGTGCAAAAAAAAGTTAATAAGGAATAAAAACATGTGCTAAGGAAAAGAAAAGAAAAAAAAGAATTATGTGAAAAAATTGATATAAAAATATAAAATCGAAAAAAATTTGCAAAATACAATTATTATAATATTAGTATATTACAAAAAAAAAATTTAATTTTCGTATACCATAAAATGGGATATATTTAGAAATTAACACAGGAAAAATATTATTCGGCTTCTGTTTCAAGAGTTAGAGGACTTTATTCTGCTATATCTAGCAGAAATTTTAAAATGATTTTTTTTTTTTAGTTTATGAATTGCCAATTTGTATTTTTTATATTTTTTGCCTTTATCATCTTATTGTTTCGTTAAATATTTCGGAATATAATAAGCATATATTGCAGGCAGCATACCGGAAATAATATGTATGTTCATTGTAAAAGGCGTTATCAAAAAATATGTTTCAGTCTCAATCGCTTCCAAATTACATATGCACATACAAACATACAAATCAAAAATTAAAATTGTTTTTTGTAATTGTGCACAAATCAGTTTTTATACACACATTATATTTAGTTTACCTTAACTGCAGTGTCTTTTTTATACCTTTGTTCTTTTCAAAACATTTTATAATTAATTCGATAAAAATCCTGATAAAATCCAAAATAAAGATAAAATCCAAATCCAAATATAAAATAGTCAAAATTATCATTTATAAATTTTAAAATTAAATAATAGCAAGTGAAACAGTGTGATTGAAATAACTTCGGGGTCGCACCTTAGCTCCAAGATTTTAATCGAAATCGTTTAATTTGCTGTTAAAAGTTGATAATTTCTATCACCAAAGTGCGAGAGTTGCGGTGCATAGGTGAGTAACTCTAAGTTATAGTTTCATTTTTTTGTTTAATAATTTGCAATGCCTTTTTGCGATTCTTAAAAACCTTCCAAAGATTACTTTAGATTAAATAGGTATACTGTAATTTTACCACTGGGTTAATTTGCATATCCATGCGTGGACAAGTATTCTAAAAAAAGTTTACATTTGTGTACATATACATGTATATTCATAAGTACGCGCATATACTTACATAAAAATATATAGCGGTATAGCACGCATGGTAATTATTTAAACAAACGAGTTCATCACGGAAATGCCAAAAAGAAATTCTAAAAAATATATTTTTTTTGAAAATTAAAGTAATAATTCTTTCATATTACTCAAGGATAAGCACGTGTAAAATGCTAACATATTCGCATGTGTATACATACGTGCACATACAAGCTAAATTTCCATGTTACCGCTATTCATGTGTACATTTGCATACTCTTCGCTCTCAATTAGCTCTGAGCTCCGCGCTTGGCCTTCAAGAAATGCTTGCAATATTCCTGTTGCATTTAACACAAATTTTGAGTGTTGCTAATATGTATGTATGTATGTGTGTGTATTTACAGAAGTTGTTGCCCTTTTCTTGTTTTTTACTTCTATGCAAAATAATTATTGCTTTGGACACGCATGTACAAACATGCCTAAAATAGATGTAGATATGTGTGTACATGTGTATATACATATATTATATATTGCTTAGTTTTGTTTGGTTTAATTTGTCTGGCACTTGGCATTTTACTACTTGACTCGAAAGTCTTTCATTTGCCACTTGCGCGAGCTTCTTGGCTGTTGCTAATGTCTTCGCACCAAGTGTTGTTGTTGGTGTCTTTGTTGTATTAGTACATTTCTTTGTTTTGTATTTCAAGTAATTTTTAGCATTAAATATATAATAAGTGTATAATATATTATTTATTGGTGCGCGTGTAGGTGTGTGTTTTTGTGCTCTTGTCTTTAGTGGGATTTTCCCATTTGTTTTGAGTGATTTTTTGTTTTCAATTTGAAGAGCTGCTGATAATTTTATTTCTGTTTAAATCAATAATATTATGTTCAATGAGAAAAAGTTAATATACGGTATATATTTGTACATATGTATATTTGTATATTGTCCAGCTTGTTTTGTTTAGCAATAAAATAAAAAAGGAAGTATAATATGAAAAAATAACAACAATAAAATGTAAACAGAAACTAAATGAATTAAATAAATGATAATAAAATAAAAGAAATAAAAATATGTTTAACTTGCTGGAAACAAAATGTAAAATATGTTTGAATAATATGGAAATTCTTATAATATAAAATACAGTTTTCTCGTCATTGTTGTATGAATATTTTATCGCGTTTATTGCGTATTCCAAACTTTGTTGCCTTTAGTTTAGTTCACTGTATTGAAATTTTACTAAAACTATACCTTGAACTGAAAAGATTAGCTAGAAGTGACTTCACTGGAACCTATTGGTATAATCTGGATATGGGAAACGAACTCGAACTGAAAAACATAAAAGACAAAACAAATAATTTCGTGGAAGACTATCCTTAACTCGATTTTCTTCAAAAGTAAAAAAATTATAAAATTATAAACAAAAAAAATGTCTAATAATCTCAACCACAAAATCTAACAGATATGCTGACCAGAGTTCATTCTGATAATGGACTCTCTCGACAGACAATGTCAGAAAATAAAAACATATTTAGGATTTGGAGAGATAACTTCTCGAATTATCTCGTTAAAATACGAGGTATCGAAAAACAACACGTAGGTACCGACATCAACAAAAAACTTTAAGTTATTTGAAAATGTTCTAAGGTGAAACGCTCTATTTTTTAATTTGGGAAATGACCTTACATATATGTAGATGTCAAAAATTATTTTTACTTACATCAATATATGATGAAACACAAATGTGAAGGCAACATTTTTCCTCATTAACAACAACATTAGACAAAAAACTGATTTCTAAACATTTCATTCCACACATTTGTGGGCGAGTCTGGTGCGTCGTCAACATCGTTTAACGAAGACCGATTGACATGTTTCGATATACGCATGGACGAAGGTAAATATGTATGTATATATGTATGTAGAAGTATATAGGCAAATTTTTTTCTCTAAAATGTACTTATTGCCGATCATTTATTATTGTCAATAATAAATCTTCAGTACAGATCTAGGCATAATACAAGATACATAAGGCTGAGCCAAATATTAATCTATATACAGAATAAAAAGTATTTCTTGCGAGTTAGTATATTTAGCTAAATTTTAAAATGTGTCGGTGAGCTTTGAAAGTTTTCCATTTAAGTAACTGATAAAAAATGTTTTTTCATTTAAAATACCATAACTTTTGAACCTCATAGTATAATTTTTTACATCAAGGATTCTTGTAGAGCATAACATTTTCTAAAGAATATACCTCAGAGGGATTTTTGCATTAAAAATTCCTGTATTTAAAAGCTTTGAAAAGTGAACGAATCAAATATTTAAATATATTTTTATCAGATTTAAGAAAAATGAGCTTTAACAGTGTTCCTATATCGCCAGAATTATTTTTATAATTATTTAGTATTTACCAACGTACTCTATAAGGGTTAAGGTGTCGACGCTCTCTGTCACTTTGTAAAACATCTTTTTGTTTAACAGAATTTACGTCTTCGAAATTTATGCATATTTTTTCGAAATATTTCGTATAATTTTTTATGCAAAAATAAATAAGAATAAATTTAATAAAGAAAATAATAAATTAGCAGGTTTTCGCAAGCGTTCGCCAGCATACACAGCACATCTTTGTAGCGTAGCAGCGACACACATACATACATACATGCACACAATGTAATCGGCAGCGCTAATGGGCTGCAGAAATATTTTCAAATGCGCAACACAAATAGGTGCTTTTCTCATAGAGATTGTCATAAAATACATACAGTTAAACACTTATTTGCATATGTCATTATGCTTGTGTGTTGGGGTTTATTGTCATTTTGGAATACTTGACATTTTTCGCGACCAACACTGGCACAGCTTCGTGTACATACATATGTATATCGCACAGACTTGAAGATCTTTCGCTGTGGCATTTTTATTGTTGTTTAAAATATTAAGTATTTGAAAATATTTTGAAACTTGAGTGAAATACATAGCAAGAACAAAAATGGCATTTGCAAAAACATAAATTTGAAAAGTGTAACAACGAGCTGGCAAAGTGACTTTGAGGCTTTCACACATTTTAAAGTACTGCCAAACTGTTTATTATTTAAATACAAACGTTTTAAATAGAATAATATATAAGGTGGAATATGAATTCGGCCCATGGTTGGATTTCAAAGATTTTTAAAACCGAATCAAGTTCTTGTTTAAAAAACTTTTTTATTTGACAAGATATCTTCACGAAATTTAGCATAGAATATTATGCAAGACAACATTATAGTTTTCGAGTCAATTTTTCAGATCGGACCACTATAGAATATAGCTGCCATATAAACTGAACGATCAGAATCAAGTTCTTGTATGAACCCCCAAATTATAATAATAATAATCCCCCGGGATTGAAATAAAATACCGGATTAAAAAAAAATTTTAATCCCATATACGAAATAAAAAACTAAAATTTTTTTTTTTCAAATAAATTTTTAATTTGGTTTTTGGGATCTGGGATTAAAATTTTTATTTTTTATTTCAAGCATATAATTAAGAATTAAAAAAATAATATGCTTTTGAACTAACATTTGTTTGCTTTCAATTAAATCAAAAAATAATATTTTCAATTTTTAAACCCAAACATCTTGGATTAAATAATGAAAATTTAATTTTTAATCCCAACATCGGGACATTTAGGACATGGTATTACTATTTTGAGTGATTTATTGCTACCTAGTATACGGAATTTTTTATCTCAAAACAATACTGAGTTTATTTTTATAGTTTATTTACGAAGTAACCACTTTTTTATTTTTTTCGAAAAACTTTCAAAATTTTTAAAATTACTGTTGTACTTCGTAATATGATAATTTGAGCCGAAAGTGTGATGTTTGGAGGGTTTGTGGAATTGTTAATATTAATTATTTTATATACTAACACTAACTGAATATATGATGAAAAACTAACAGACCTAACACAGGTACTAAGTAGTTAAATTTTCAAAATTATATGTGCACTAAAGCGCAACTTGAAATCACAACTCTGGCATCAAGCTCAAATGGTCACTCATACGCCCCGTACAACACTCATACGCCATGTAGCCTACATAATAAATGCAGTGTAGTTGTTTATTTTGAGATTTGTCGCCTCGTAGGCATTTTCATTGTGTCAATTTCTTTTATTTGTGTTTATTCGATTGTTACTTATGTTTTTGGGTTTACTTTTTTTTCGCCTTATTTCCCATATCGCCTTCTGTTTTTAGCTGGCTGTATTTTCGGTTTCACATATTCATTGTCAGACTGATCGCGAAAGTCTTAGCAACTACTACAGACAGAGTAAGCAGGCAGCTTACAGCTCAAATGAATTATGCAACTGCGCTGTCAACAGGGTAATATAATAACACAAATCGAGCACATTATAAATAATTAAACGTTGTATATCTTTTCTTAGTAGCTGACAGCTAAATATTACCTGCTGTGTCGCACATAAAATACGACGTTCAATTCAGCAACAACCAAATGTTCGTACGTGAAGCAAATTTATTTATAAATAATTTTTGTATTAATTTATAAAATTTTTAGAAATTCATTTGGAAATAATTGTTGTATTTTTTTAAATTTTATTACTTTCTTTAATTTTTATTTATTTGCAAAGAAGTTGTATTAATATGGAAACTTTATATATTTTTTACTTTGATGTGATTAGCATACAATCTTCTGTAATGTTTCTTTAAATTTCAATGCACGTTTACTGCTTTATACTTTTCCAATTAAATATCTTTAAAAAACACTTGTGGCTATATATTTCGATAAGTAGACTTTTCGTTATAATTACACATTACGCACTTTCACACTATAAAATCAGTAATTCATCAAGATTTTTTCGCTACTGTTTACTTTATTAGCACATTGAATTAGCTGCAAGTGTTTGGGACCCGCACTTTCCGGGTATGGGGGGCACCGCAAGCAACCCGCTCGCTTCTAACAACGATAACAAGAGTTCGTCCGATCGGTCAATCAGTCATTCGCACACTGATGCGACCGTTTTCTTGGTGACTGGCGAATGCTCATATAGCTGCCTGGCTGCCTGTTTGCCTTTTTCGCCTACTTGCTGTATTAGCAGCTCACTTGCCACTTGGTTTGTGCGCGCGTGTGCAAGCTGCCTGGCTGCGAGCTGATCTGAGTAGGCGACAAGTAATCATTCTTCATTATATTTCTGTTGTGCTACTCTGTGCCGTCGCGGCACATTGTTTAGCTGTTGATTCTTCTTTGTTTGCCTGCAGACCGCAAGCGCTGAGCGAGTGCGCCCAAGGAGCGCCAGTAGAAAAAACAACGCTTGCTCCCTTTTTGCACATCAAAAATGTAAATGAATTGAGCGTACTTCTAAAGAAGTTGTTGAAGTTGCACTGGTCTTTGAAGCATGTTGCTGATTGAGCGCCGCGAGCTGGTGAACAATTCAATCCAACAAGTTTCTCTCTTCTCAATGGCTCTTTGCCATTGTATTTATGTTTTTAGATACATATGTACCTATGTGTGTATATCAACATGCAAATAACGACAGTAAGGCAGCAAGGCAACTCATCTCGCACGCCTGCTCTGCGAGCGGGCCAACAAACAACTAACCACAGACCGCAGTCAACGGGCCAACAAACAGTCAACAGTCAGGCAATTGTTTTGCCGTTATTCATGTGCTCTGCTTGCTCCGCTCATGTGAGTTTATAATTTCTGCGCTCTTTGTCATGTATAGCTAGTATAAACACATGCTTTACATAGAGTTTCTTTGGCAACTTCAGCGCCTGTTGATTTTTTACCAACCGACCATCCCGGAAATTCGCCCAGCCGCTCTACATGCTGTTCTCATTACAACTGAAGCCGAAAAAATACACACACTCATTGATATAAATATGTATATACTATATAACGGCAGCTTCCTTTTTTCATTGCGTGCTTAAATAAATGGCTCCGTTTGCGTTCGACGTCATCAATGAACATACCCGTTTGCAGCCCCATTGAAGATGTCAGTGGCCCGAACGTGCTTTCTACACTCACTTTCATGTACATAGAATTTTCACCCACAACGCCGCTCTCACTTAAACCAACACCATCATTAAACCATTGAAGCAATACAATAGCAATAACAACAGCGTGGCACGCATGCATCGTTATTCCGCTAAAAAATAAATATGAAACGGAAGCATTAAGCTCGCAAATGCTGAAGTATCACAGCGTGTAGCAGTCAATGTACAGCAAATAAGTTTTTCCTTGTGCATTTGGCAATAATGTAAACAGCTCACGTTTTCCCCCAACGCAGCAATCAGCGATAACGACGCAGGCATGGTCTGGCCCCACGTGTTGCCTCTCGAAGTGCCCGCGTGCTTACTATCCACTTTTGGCTGCTGTTAAATGAAATTGAAATTTCTATAAAAATATCATACGCAATATCACATACAAACTTCTATATAGTATACATATAAAGATTTAGGCCCTTGTTGGTGCCTTTCATTCGTTACAAATTTTAAAATATTTATAATTTAGAGAAAAACAATTTTTATAGTTAGCAATGATTTTCATTTCAAGGAATCATTTCCAAAGACAGTTAGGTCTACGTTAGAGAAAAACACAGGGTATAGGTTTCCGGTATGTTATAGCACACTCACTGCAACAATAGCAATACAATTTAAGGTACACACCTAGCGTGAAATTAAAAAACAAAAAAACCTTTTTTTATATTAAAAAATCGATATCTCAAATAGTTTTTGAGTTACAGCCTTCTAAAGTATAGCCGCTCAGTTTAATCAGTACATTTTCCAAATTGCGTGAGTGATAGCTGGGAGACAAATCGTTTCGATCACTATCAAATTTTTTCTGCATTTTCTGTATATATATATGTATGTACTTCTCCATACAATGAGCCACCAGTTTTTTTATCTGAACATAAAATGAACTTTGGCAGGCCAAAAATTACCAAAGTTTTGTGTGAGTTTCAATTTTTTTTTTAAACACTGTCATTCTGTTAATTGTTGATATTTTTTCAACATTAGATGATTGTTTGAACACTATCTTTTAGTCGAGATGTTTTTTTTTTGGGTTAAACCATAGAAAAGACCGCAATCATTGTAAGGTAGAGGACCTTTGTTTAGCGCCGACGGAGATCGCGTTTAGCTCGGAAAGGAATAATTTTTTCATTTTACTGTGTATTCTTAAAATGTTTTGGGTAGTTATCATGGACACTACTAAGAAATAAATAAATTTTAATTACTTCTTTTTCAATGAAATCACTTTTTAAAATTTTCTTCAAACAATCGAGTCACAGCCTTGTGTGTACCTGATCTACTACCTGCACTATAATAATGCCAAAAATACCGGCACACTAACAACAGAATGCCCACTGAGGAGAATGTGTCCAAAACAACAGGTTTCACAACGTTCACAAAAATATTTTGCTAAATTATAAATAAATTATTTGTTGTTGTAACACATTGTTGCATGACATGTCGACAGTTTCGCTAATTTTGTTAAATGACCTACAAATCTGGTACAGCATAAATAAAGAACGCTGGCAATTTATTTTGTCAAAATAATTTCATTCGAGAAAATAAGTGAAAGTGAAAGAAGTGAAGAAAATACACAAGTTTACATACATACTCGTACATATGTATGTGGTGTAAGCTTACATGCTACTCGTACATATGTTTGTACCTGTATATGTGTTACCTGTGCTCGATTCGTGTCTACGGCGTCGGTCGCACTACATAAGTGGCCTACATGTAGGCGTTGCTGCTGACAAACATTTACATTTATATATATAACATTATATAGATAGAGAGGAAAGTGATTCGAGAATTGGCTTGCATGGCGATACGTTGCAAAGAGAGAGGGTTTCATATAACTTATGTGCCAATTTGTATAAATGATTTCGAAAATTGGCTGCCAATCGAGAATCGAAGCACTTATTTATTGTACATTAATCACACAACAACAGAAGTAAATTTTAATCAAAGCTATTGAAGTAGATTGGCAGATTTCGTGATGCGCTGCTGGAAGTACATAGTTAATCAACATTTTTTTGTAATTTATTTTTCATTCGCAGCAATTGGTTACCATTTTTTTTATATTTCTGCTGTGAGAAGTTTTATGGTGGTAACATAAGAGTCGTCATTTCGGATTGAAAGCACCGATAAATGTTTTTTTGTTATTAAAAAAATTCTAATAACGTTTATTCGAAAAATTATATATACTCGTATTATATTATATAATTATTTTAACCCAAAGATATATTTAAAAATCTGTAAGACATTTGTTCTGCTTAGTTGAAATAAGGGGTTCAACTGGGCTAAGAAACAAGAGAGTTAGCGTAGAATATAGAGTTATATTGAACTATTTTAATAATCGCAGCTATGTAGCGCTCTATTGACCTAGTTGGAGAAATATATCGAAACGCATAGGTCTGCATATGCTTCGCACATACCTGATTCCATTCTTTAGAGATTTCCCAAACAAAAATTTACTCCTAGTCGAAAGCCTGAATACAATGCCGATTTTTTGAGGAAACTAATCCATCAATTTTGTTTTAAATTTTAACGGAATATTTACTCATATTTTAAAAATACACAGTAAAATTTGTATAGAAAAAAGTAAATATTTTTCACATTGAAAAATGACAAGTAAAATATCAATTCCATTAAATATGACATTTTATTAATATATTATTTTCCCTCAATTCTTTAACCGGTTGCTTGAAAATAATAGTTTTGACAAATTGCGACATCAAAAAATATTTGTGCGACAGGTGTCGGCAACGTAACACCACAATACTGCTGTGATCAGCATCACCCCCACCACTACCACCGTTATGTACCGTCATGGGAAAATTCTGAAAATCATTTTGATATTTTGTAGCATTTCGACACTGGTGCTTGCTTTGATTATATCGCTACATTATTTTTGCATATTTTATTATTTTGGCATCTGCCGCATGTTGGCCCATGTGAGTGTGCCACATAGGCGCTCTATGTATACGTAAATACCGCTGTGTGAATTGTCAAGTCGTTCACAAAAGTAGATATATCAAATAGCCGGGTGCGCCAATTAAAGTTCATTAAACGGTATTCGAAAATGATTCGCGTTTTTCAAAAATTATTTTAAAAGATTTTGAAAATAAAGCAAAAGTATGGAAAGAATTTCAAAATCACGTTGTGCTCTATTTTTATGACTTAATTATTGTTGATTTCTTATTTTTGCGCATTGTTGTTGTGCTAACAGGCGTTGCTGCTGGCTGTGGTCATGCTTAAGCTCCGAAATACAAACTTATGTAGATATGGTTGTGTATAGAAGTATTGAAGTCCCAATAAGTGAACAACTACCGCACTGAAGCAGTTGTTACGATACTGGTGCAATAATTATATATTTGGATTAGTTTATAACTAGTTCGATAACTTGAACAGGGTATATTAAGTATGCCATGAAATTTGTATCACTCTGGGAGAAAATATTGGAGAATCTGTAAATTGTATATATAAATTCTTGTATGGAAAATTTCTATATTTGAGAAGATATAATCACGAACTTTGGCATTGATTGTTATCCAAGGCAAAGCAACAATCTTCGAACAAATTATTTAGATCGGACCATTATATTATATAGTTGCCATACAAACTAACTGATCGAAATCAAGTTAAATATATAAATTTTATACTTCTTTATGCTATACGAAATGTATTTGTGAAGGGTATTATAGCTTCGGTGCAGCCGAAGTTAACGACCAACCATATATTTGAGTTTCACCTCTTCTCGCTTTTCTAGATCAATTCCTGCGCATTTATGTGAAGAGACATTGCAGCACTAAGCAAGTTAACTAGTTGGCAAGCATATTTCTATGGTCATGGTTATTTGTATACGTACATATTATATATTTAAAGCTATGTGGGTGCTTTCTCAATTGGTAGTTTTGCTTGTCATCTACTCATTCTCTTTCTCTTTTGAGAAATTTGCAGAAGTTAATATGCCTTGAGTTATTGCCGCATAAATATATGTATGTATGTATGTGTTCGAAGTAAGAAAAATACTTTGTTGTAGTGTTATTATGCCAAATCATAATCGTTTACATTAAAGAATAATCCAGTCGAATTACATCGGAGCACTTTTCGCCATTAATGCGATCTCTTTTTTTTGTTTGGGGAAGCACCAATATATGTAATATATATATAAACAATATAAATACTTTTAATTAAGACGCGTTTGATTGTATAACCATAAACAATTTTGTTAAATTACTCATGGGGGCAACACCTGCATTGAGCTGGCAGTGAATCGGTTTCAAATCTTAGTTTTGCTTATCGCTTCGTGAGTGACAAAAATAAACAGTTATAGCCCGTAAAATTAAAACAAATCGTAATTTCCGATTGTACCCAAGACTTGCTCATCTCGATTAGAAGCTTTGTCGCTCGCATTGCTTTTGTGAAATTAATACTTTTTGCAAGCCTGTGAAATTATTTTCAGTTATAAAATACTCGTATAACTTATTCTGTTCTAAAAGTTTAAAAGTTCGATATATCGAATATCAAATTCTAAATTTCGTGCTTTTCGTCATTACTTTTAATATGAAAAAAACCTCCACCGAAAGTCATCGTATTTTTGTGCAAGTTTATTGTAAACATATTCTGGCTGAGCGAAAGTGCTAAAAGTGGTTTGAACTATTTCAGAGTGGTGATTTGGCTTCGAAGACCAAGAATGTCCTGGACGACAAAAAAGTATGAAGCTGAGGAACTGAAAGCATTACTCGATGAAGATTGTTGTTGAACACTAAAAAACAAGTCGTTTTTACATTGGATTGTGACTGCTGATCCTTCATTACGATAATCCTAAATCCTATCCTATTGATAATAATAGATATCATCAAAATGTAGATAATGTAGTCACTTTCGAAATATAATGTATATGCGTCGAAATGTTTCCAAAACTGCCGCGCCCACCAACTGTGTGCGTTATTGATGTGCTCAATAAAAGAAGAAAATCTGAAACAAAAACATTAGATAAACGTTTTACTTTGAGTGCGTTCAAAGCATATTTACAAGTGCATACACACATATAAATATATATTACATACATACACATACATACATGCATGCATACAACAAGACCACTTGTTAACAACAACGGTCGCTCGTTGGTGTTAAGTCAGTTGATTGGACCAGATGGTGGCGACGGCGACGCGCCTCACTTATTAAAATCTTCAACAAAGCATAAGAAATTGCACGGTCACAGAATTTTGATTTTCCTAAATTATGCACAATTTTTCTATATTTTTCGACAATTTCTAATTCTGTTTATTTAATTCACGCTGTGAGCGTGTGAATTCACATACCATACAAACCATTTATTCGTTATCGGTAGCACTGATCATCACAACGGTGCATCTATCCTTTCATTGCTTCATTGAAACGCTTTATGGCCGTTGAAACGATGAGCAAACTTTCGAAGCAATTAATTAATTAAAAACGTTTTTTCCCATTTTTGTTGATAATTTTCAAATTAAAAATGTTTTTTTTTATTTTAAATTAAATGAAATAGTGCAAAATACTTGCGAAAATAGTAAATAAACGCGCCCCTCAACGCGCTGCTGTGAATGCTTATCAGCGACAAGCGCACACATGCTGGCGATTACAGTAACCGTCACTTCCTCTCCCGAGCAATATGCAATGCGCTTTGCAGGCATAGCTGTTGCAGGTGAAACGCCTTTGGCGACTCAGTGCAATAACGGGGATTTGCTTTGCTTCACCCATTTGTGGTGTTAACGGTATTGTGTCGCCGGGTGCAACTTCCTCACAATTGCAGACGTAAATGCAGAAGAGGCAGAGGGAAAGCGCGAAAAGTACTATTCTCGTCATATCGAATTGTTAACGCCGCGAACTCAACTAAATTCTGTTGCTCTCAATCGCAACGCATCTCTGTTTTATATTGCACTTCAGAACTTTCGCCTCAATTCGTCGGCGATAACGCGAAATTCGCGCATGTGATTCCCAGCGCAAAGCAAACATTACACCCACACATGGGGATGTGTGTACATATGTATATACATTAGGGTTCCTCTTAATTTGAAAAGAGTTGAAATTATTGCGCTCGCTGACAGCGGAAGGCTTTAAGTAAGTCATTTTTAATTGTGTTTTTTTATATAAAAATATAAATTTTATATTATAAAAATAAAAAGGAAAATTAGTTAAGCTGTTTCTTGGAAGAATTAATTAATTTATTATTTGACGATGCACTACGTAAATGTGTATGTAAGTAGCTAGAAAAAATTTGGGTTACCCAAGAGTTATATAAAATACGAGCCCTGCATGGAAATTTAGGGGATTTACGAGGTACATATTGTACAATACATAAGTATATCATTTTGAATGTATAAATAGACATATAACTTTTTAAAGCCGAGCTAATTTATTTGCATTCTAGTTATATACATATATACATACGTATATAAATAAGTATAAACATTGAGGGAAATTCCGTTAAGTCTACATCCACCATTAAGTTCAGATAGGATTCAAATTCATTATCGCTACAAATTCATTATCGCTATTCAATTAGTTTACATAATACACTTAATTGGTAAACGAATAATTCTGTGTAGTGTTGAGATGTTTTTACTTCGTTTTCTTTTATACAGCTTCTGCAGCTGACAACCGGTAACACTCTCAACCTTAAAGCGTGGACGCCTATAGAACAATGACCTGTTAAAACCACCAGAACTAGAGAAAAGCTAGCCTTACTGTGAGCAAAAACCTCATTTAATCGACAAAGGTCGATCTTTGGACAAAAAGATGTTGCGACAGCATAAGAACCGATGATAGCCGAGCGCTGGCCAAACTCCCGCGAAGCCCAGCTATCGAGTAGTAAAACACACAACACGAACCGGTCCCATTCTACTTGTCAGGCACCAGAGTGGATAGTCACTTCTTAGAAGGAGGCTGCACTCCGAAGCAATAAATCTGCCGCTACCTTAATGGTAGCAACGTTAACTTGAAAAACGCTACAGTAGTCAGGAAGTTTGAAATTGAAGTTGATAGAGAGTTCCTGACAACATATCTCTCCATCAATTTTCCGCCCAAGCTTTGACCCATCCGTAAAGAAGCTCACTGCGCTTCTGCTCCAACGGTTTCTACCCACCAACAACTCGCTCGCAAGTATGCGAGCAGTAAAAATGCAGCTAGAGTTTGGTTTGGCGACTCCATGTTCGAGAACTTCTGGTGTGAAGTCAAACCGTGCAAAGATTTCCGAGTGTTCAGACACATGTTAATTAAGAAATCCAGATTTTCTTACTCAAATAACAATTTTCGCAGCCATACACCTTCCGACTATATCTATGGGCACTATATGAAGAGTGGCATTAATACCAGTAGTGAACACTCGTACCTTTTTCGTAGTAATTTAGGTATATTTTTGGCTAGTACTAGACGATAACAGAAAAGGACTAATCGCTTTCGTATAAATCTCGGATGCGTGGCTTTGGTTCTTTTGAGGTTATGTGTCCGAATACTTCAATAACCCGCTTATAATGCACCACCATCATGAACTTAAGCCGTTAAAGTCCTATTCGAACTACCTACTTATATGACCACCACAAATAACGGATGATTTATCTATAATGTTGTGGGCAAGTCTTTTGTCCTCAATACGCTTTGTACTGAGCCCTCTGAATGGAGAATCATACGAAGAGACAGCGAGTTTATTCTATTTGAGGAGACTGTGGTAGCGATTTGTTTTTGGATCTGTTCATAATATAGGTAGGAGTGTTTTTAACACTAAACAAATACGACCGATCATTGTGGCAGGAGTCACGAAGGATCCCTGCTCCCCCTTTGGACTGCTAAGGGGGCCAAGTCTTTGTGTTCCCAACAACTCTTAATTATAGATCCACAAGACTTTAAAAAATCGGGAAAGCGCCTCGAGCCTGTCACAAGTTTGTTGAAGCGGCCCAGACCTGTTTCGTATGTTATGGCTATGTTATCTAAAGAAGTTTTTGTTTATTATGGTTGAGTAAAGCATTTCTTTTTGATACCCTCCACTGAGATATTTATCATTATGGATTCTTAACTTTAGAAAATTAATTTGCTTAGTGTGAAGAGAACATTGAAATTTGGTTTAGAGTTTAAACAATTTTGATAACTGTTGAGTGCTATTTACGAAATTATGTATTTTAGATAAATTCTGCAATCCAGTTGTATATTATTCGATAATTCTATCACCTAACTGGGAAGGGTTTTTTTGAGTAGAGAATAATATGCGTCTCACACTATCACCGATTAGAAAACCATGTAACTTACAGTTATTTATGTAAGCCCAATATTCACTAAGTTCATCATTATAAATAGAAATTTAGTGTGTTACGAAACACAATTTTTTTAATGAAAAATGCTTTTCTGCGGTAAATTGGTAAAGTCCGTATTGCTTATAAGAGCACTGAAGACGATGGACGTTCAAAAGATAAGTGCTTCGATGAAACCAACGAAAGAATCTGCATAATGACTCTGAATAACCGTAAAATGAACCTATTGAATAAATATATTATATTGTGGTATAAGAAAACTCTACGCATAGCAGTGTTTAATATTTTTCATTTATAATAAATCAGAATTTATTTTGCCAAAAAAATGAGGATATTAAAAAACAAAAATTAAAAAAAGGAAACTGAAATGTTATTGCACTAAAAATCGATTATTTTTGTAATCCTTCCAAGTATTAAATTGTCTGAAGAATAAATTATACTTCTCAATATCGCCTGTTACTACTAACGAGGAATAGGTGCATGTCTGTTATATGTTGATGATTTCGTTGGCCGGAGAGTTTTGAGAAAACATTTTATTTACCTAAACAATGAATCACTAACAAGCTGCAGGACATTTAGAGAGGTAAAATATTGAAAACTTCTTCATGAAAAATATTTGTGATTTAAACTCAGTTTTATTTTTAATCAGTTAATATATATTTTTTGATTAAAATGATAAAATAAATGTAAGCAATTGGTATATAAAATATTTATTCACTTCATTGACGACAGATACAGGTTCCACTACGGCAGTAACCGCCCCGCCATCTACCGAGGAACACGCAATGACTGGAGCAGGCCGCCGGACTCTTGAGCACATCGCAAGTAAAACGCTTCTGCCGATGTAAAGTCACTAAATTTTCGGGATTTTCGGCTGTCAATTGTTCATTGAAACTAACGACTTCTCTATCCCCATCGGCGGGTGCAGCCTTTGAGAGGCTGAGTAAGCACAAAGCGCAGATGAGTCCAGCAAAAAATACGATTTTCATTTTGTGCAGGTTGTTGTTGTGGGTACTAAATGTTGCCTATTTGAATGGCTGATAGCTTTGCTTTGAGTTGTGCTTGTTGTTGCGAAGACCACTGTACACTGATGCTAAGCTTTCGTTCCCAATTCTGTTTTATACTCTAAACCGAAACTGAAAACACACGTACCCCTATTTATGTAAACAAATATTTCTTCCCAACTCTTAGGGGACTCACGACGCTACTTTTCATATTCCATCAACAAAAAGCATTTACGAGTGAGGTGAAATGAGTTTACTGCTATGTGAATCATGTTAATCGCATCAGCCAGTGATAAGCTGGGAAACATTTGTATTTGGGAAAATCCGTTACACTATTTATAACCATAAATATTTTTAAATAAAATGTTAAATAAATTTAGTTTCACATACGGATCATTCCACGTCAAATCGACAAATAGGTGGACACGACCCCCCACCGATTCGAATGAATTTTAGTGGAAAATTTGGCTTATCATAAAACGAAGTTCTGCCAAAGGAGAAAATATTTCCTAAGAGCTATGCAAAATTGAAAATTTCACTGTTTTTCCGATTTTATGAGTTTTTTTATTTAATATTTTAGAAACTACGGTATATTAAATAAAGAACGCTGGTGCGTTTTCAAAGGACACTTAAAGGTGTGAGAAAATTTTTTTTTTTAAATTTTGAAAATTACCAAAATTAAAAAGTTTTAAATTTTTCAAAATCGTAAAAAGTAATAAAAAAATTTTGTATTATACCTCTAACATATCTAAAGAAATTCTGAAATTTTCAGAGGGGCGTTATTTTTCGTTTCAAAGATATGACTTTTTGAATTTTGGCAAAATAGTTTTTTTCTGTTTTTTCAACTTTTAATAATCTAAAATATTTTTCTTATGTTAATGGCATGTAAAAATAATAAAAATAAAAAATATTTAAGATCTCAAATTTCAATAATCATGTGATAGAAATATGATATTGAACAAAAAAAGTTACATCGTAAAAAATTGGTTTTTAAAAATGTTTTGTTGAGTTAAAGCAAAACTTTCGGTCAAGAATTATTAAAAGTGCGATGCAGTTCTTCAAGGAACTAGAACATAACAAATTTATAGTTATTGTAGATGCCTTTGAGGGTATGTATTTATTAGTTTTTACTATAAATAATATATACAATAAATATTAAGGCCGAATATGTTAAATATGTGTCCTGACTTGACCGCAAAATGAAAATAATTCATTGGCAAATTTCGCGGCTACATTTTTCAAAGCAATTAAATAAATTTTCTTGATTTCAGATTCTTGTTTCTACCATCTTTATATAGCGAGAAATTGATGCTTATGGTGAGCCAAGTTCATTAGGCATAATTCATGGAATTTTCCGTTGTAGAAAGATGGAATGTTATTAAGAACCATTAGATATTATATTTAAAAGATCTTATCTCATAAAAATTACTTAACACAAAGGACTCACTTAGGTCCCCGGATATGTATCATATTGATTGTAAGTAGTTGTGCAAATTATTCAACTGTTAATCAGTCAAGTGACATTAAAATGCACTTCAGATGTGGATCGATATAAAGGGCAGACGATAAAGAGATCCTTTCGACAGTTTAAGTTTCAACACTTTATCTTTAAACGAGTTTTTCTCACAAATACATTTTACAAATTTTTTTCAGTTATTACTCAAAGAAGAATTATCTGAATTATATAGCTGTGTATAGTTTTACATATGTACAATGACCTGCCAATTTTTTGAGCTGATCAATAATCGAATTTTGGCAGGTCAAAAAGGACAAAAATTTTGGGTAAAATTAAATTTTTTTGGACGACGTCATTTTATCAATATTTTTTTCAAATGTTATATGGATAATATCTCCTAGTAAAGAATTTTTTATATTAGATATACCTTTAGAAATGACTGTTTCAATCTTGAAAAGCCGATAGGTATGCATTTGTCTAAAAAACCTAAACTAATACGCCGCTGTTTTCGATTTAATTATCGAAAAACAATATAAATTCTACAGATTCGAATCCTTTAGAAAAGCAAAGCTAAATCCTTAAAGATACAGTTAAAAAAAATTTAAAAAAAAAGCAAAGTGGAAAGTAAGGTTACAAATTTTAACTACTGCTTATAATATATATAGAAACAAAATATTGTGCAAGTATAAAAATTAAAATCAAAATGACACTAAAGAAGGAGTTCGGCCAGCGAAATTTACAATTAATCTTCAATTGCATTAAATAAATTCGAAAACTACTTTCTTTCATACTTTTGTTTATTTAATCATAACCCATTTAAGTTTAAATACAGATTCTTTTAATAAATGATTGAATAATTGAAATCTCAAAACATAAATAAAGAAGTTGTATCCCCTTTATCTAGACGTACTGCATCCTTAATTACGACATTCGCAAACTCCACGTCCATTGCAGTGACCGCCACGATTGCCACGGAGTAAACAATGGGCCGCACACGCACTGTGCTTGATGCCGAAACCGCTCAGTAGATCGCAAGTGGCGCGCTTTTGACGAATCAACTCGGAAAGATGTTGCTCCTCCAAGCCAGACAATTGTGCCTCCTCTGGTTCTCCAACATTTGCTCCAGCAGGCGCTGCGTTGATCGTCTGGAAAAGGCAGTAAGCGCAGATGAGACCGGCGAAAAGTACGATTGTCTTCATGTTGATTATTCCGGAAGCTTTGTTGTTTTTATATAGTTTACTGAGGTGTGTATAATGTTGCACTGTTAAGTTCTGTTGCGTTCTGATATGCAATTCAGCTGTTCGTCTCTATTATATATGACTCGTCTTAGTTGTGCTGATTAGGCGGTGATCATGGGCATGTGTGGGTGGTTTTCCCAATAATAACAAATATCGGTTCAATATTGTATAGGGGACTCACTCAGGTGGTTTTGTTGTAAATCATTGAGCGTTATTGAATTGTGAAAACAATTGGGAAATTGCAAAAATTTCCATTAGTTTGACGTAAATATAAACGATCCTAAAATATAACATAAGCACGAGTCGCAAATAAACTGGAATATCTGTGATCGGTCTTGGAATTGCTGACACACAAATTTTGGATTATTTTACCGTCACAACTTTTTGTAGAGATTATAATAGGATTGTTTACCTGAATATGGTTTTAGAAATTTATAGGAATATATATGTATATCAAGCGATTTGAATGAGGGAATTCATTGATTCCCAGATTTACATATGTCTACGAGTCCATTCGTTTGTTCTTGCAAGCGATAATTTGCATATAAATTGATGAAACATGAAACACGAGTCTCCCAGCATTATAATGAGATCGAAAATACATTTTGGTGGAATAGAACCAATACCATGGTGGCAACCGTATTACAAACAAAAATTTTCAAAGAAACTAAAAGTGCCATAAATCGATCATCATTCAAGTTTCGAAACTAGATCCCAGAACAACCATCAACATGGCAAAGTCGAGAGTGGAAAGAGTTAAATTTGGAAATAACCAAAATCAAGCGATGCAAGATTACTGAAAATGCGTTCACCGATAAAAATGGGTTATATGTCCTAGTCCCGGTATAGTGAACATGAGGATATATAGACCGATTAATATGTGTAATATCCAAATAGACTTCTCAATAAAGTTAGTTGATAATTGATTTGAAGAGGACAGCCCACTTTTACTCAATTTAATAACTTTCATTCCTCTAATATATCGTATATCGGTTGTTATGTGAGATACCTTAGTAAAATTTTATGATAGTAGATTTTTTTCAATGGATCTTGATTTGGTATTAAAAATCGATCTAATTTTATTATATTTTCCTCAAGCTCTCACATATCATTTGAAAGTTAAAAGAGCGTTTAATTCAGGATGTTCATAAATTTTATTTACAAAGTTATCATACACATATATATGTATGTATTTATTGATAGTTAAATGGATGAACGCGTCGCGGCGCTGTGCGTTGACTGACAGACTGCTGACTGCAGGATGGTCATCGATTTCCGCTGTATATTCACCACAGGGTGGTCATTTATTTACAAATTTTGGATCAGTTCGCTAGAATTACAAGCAATACATTTCACGAATTTTGGCAGTATTGCCTGTAACAACAGCAACCTTAGAACAATAGTTTTCGACTTTAAGGGGTTACATGCGTTTCACAGCTTTAAAAAACTCAGCTTATTTAATTCTAACACATCTCTAAAATATTGTCCCAAATTTTCAAGTTGATACCAGTAATAGTTTTGGAGATACAGCCTTGACAATTTGCGCGCTCGAGGTCAGCTATATAGTCACTTAAAACTTTAATCGCGTTTTTCTTGAAACCTTGTTTTCAAAGTCGGTTGTCAAGATTTCTCACGACTTACTCAACTGATCCTAATGAAATTTTACACAGGTCTTCGGGATATCATTTACAAGGTCTTGCTGCGGAGTATTTTTTTTTTCAATTGCAACTATTTAAAAAACAAGAGATAAATTTTCACCAAAGTTTCCTTGTTTTTGTAAAACGTCTGCCAAAAATACAATTTTCACTTTATTTGTTTTTTTCTGCGAAAAAATTCTGCTGTCAACGCGGAAACACCTTTTTTCCGAGGGACTGCCGGAAATAACGTCGTAATGACCGAGTTTTGAATATTTTCCTTTGAAAATTTCACAAAATTTTTACCAAGTATGTATCTTCGGAATAATGGAAGGTTTGAATAAAATATTTCATTTATTATTGAAAATATGGCGTTTTTTGCTCGACGAAACCCATGTAACCCCAAGACTCAAAAGTTCTTAAAAACACGATGAGACAAGAGCGTCTCCATGGTCTTGCTCTCTGAAATATTCACAAAAGTATAAATTTAACTGAAGTTGAAATCCTTGTTCAAATCTGAAATCCCCTACTGTATTCGCCTCTGACCCAAACAGATTTCAAAAATAATATTATTGTACAACAAGTAAGCTGACGAACTTTTGAGTTGAAAACGCTTTTACTGAAATAAGTTAAATTCAAAAAGATCAGTTTTTATATTTATCTTTAAGTTCAAATTAAATTTTTGTTTGCTAAAATAAACACGGAGCCTCAAAAAATAGCTAATCTAAGTAGAAAAGCTACATTATTTTAATTGCTTTTGTTCATTAAATAAATATACACTTAATCACATTTAGAATAGTTTTTTAAAAATGCGTTTGAATGGATTTTAACTGAATACAATTTAAAACAAGAAAAAAAGTTAACTTTAGTTGCACCAATGCTTTAATACTCTTCGCAAATAAAAAATTTCCATATAGGAATTTGTTTTTTATTGTCCAGTTTGTATGACAGTTATACTCGTATGTTATAGTGGTCCGAATCGGCGGTTCTGACAGCAGAACTCAGTAACAGGGTCATACATAGACTCTACTCTAAGCCGAGTTCGCAATATTGCTTTTAAAATTATAGTGGCCCGTCGTGGTATAGTATTTGGTAACCATTCGTTCCGGTTTGGTTGGGACAGTCCGGATTCCGAGTTAAGCGTCCCGGCCGAGCTTAGGAATTAAAAAAAGAGAATGTATCTCTTACCTATTATATGTCGCGATTTTCAGTGAATTATAAGAAACGAGTATCTTCATGTTTAATATTTGGAAAGTTTTTGTTGGTTTTAGAAAGTTTACTAAGTTTATTGCGCTCTGACATAAAAGTCAAGTGTTGGTCTCTATTATAAAATACATACATATAGATATGCCTCCTTTTATTTGCGCTGAAAAGGCGGAGTTCATGTAGTTATCTCAATAATAACAAATACCTATGTGTAAAACATTGTCGAGAGGACTGAATCAGGTAGTTTTGCAATAATTTATTCAGCTTTATTGATTTGACATCGCATTTAAGAAGTTCAAAATAATTTTTGGAATACTGAGAAAACTACGCTAGCGCAACATTGAATTCGTTTTACCTTTTGTTGGCTTAACGTAGATATAAACGAACCTAAATTTTAATATAAGCACGTGTAGCACATAAATTTAACAATAGAATATATGTATATACGATTTGGAATTATTATACCACTATAACATGTTGCATAGTGTATAATAAATTGTTACGAGATATATGTAGAATCATGTATACATGTGAAATGATCAGAATGGCGGGATGTATTGGCACAGCACTGCTTTGGTGCTCTGGAACAGGCAGAAAGCGCAGAGGAGACCAGCGAAAAGCACGAGTGTTTTCATGGCAAGGATTTAATTGCTTGAAATTGATTGAACCTTAGAAATCGATCTCGCTGCAAAAAGTTGCTACTGCTGTAGACTCTACAGATAGTTTGATGCTCATTTAAGTTGTTTAGCTCGGTTTTATACGCGGCTTGAGCCGCGCTTGGTGTCATATTGCTGATGGCGAACTATGTTTGGAATTTCCCGTCCAATGAAAGGGGACTCACAGAGTTGCTTTCTGTTGAATCTGCTGGAGTTCGATTGGATGTACGTATAGTATGCTTTCTAGGTGTATGTTAATTATAATAATTATTCTTGGAAAGTCCACGGCTATATGTAAGTATGTATGTAAAAAGGTAACATTGAAATCTTGAAAATAATTGAATCGTTTTGATCTGATTATGTGTGAGCATGTCTGTAGTAAGACTTATTTGCTCGCACCTAAAGACATCGGCGGAAGAGTTGTGCCATTTTTTGATTGTTTGTGGAAAGTTTAAATTGGCATTATCAATATTCTGTGTGTGCATGAGGTACTCTTGCTAAGGGGATGCACTTTTGCGCACTTCGTGCTAGGTATGTACATAGGTAGATAAATTTACGACCCAGTTCTTCATTTACGCTTACCTTACTTGAAAACATTCATAATTCATTTATGCGTTTGATGACAATTTGTTTGTAAGTAAAATATATATATAGTATGTGTTATGATACTTTTTATAGTCATAGCAGTTCATACTATTGTATCGTATAGTAAAAATTAACAGCTTCTTGAGGAGAAATCTGTGTGTAAAATCAGATCGATATCTCAATAACAAAGATACTAGTTCGGGTATGGTATACACATCCTTTCATTTATCGGAACCGCCGATATCGGACCACTATAGCATATAGCTGCCATACAAATTGATCGATCAAAATCAAGTCATTGTATCGAAAACTTTGTGGTTTGATGAGATATCTTCACGCAATTTGGCATAGACTAAAGTCAACGGTATATTCTCCGAACAATTGGTTCAGATTGGACTACTATAGTATGCCAACAGGGCCGTTGAGAAAAAATCGGAACCCTGGGGGCATCTAGAAAGTGAGCAACCTGTTCGAACAATTGTTGGAGAAAATAAATCTGTAAAAAATGTTGCAAAGCATCGAGATGTCCTGAGAACTCCAGACCCAATAGGAATTGCGCTCATCTCGCATCCTCTCTCTTCAAACCAACCGTTCAAAATCAAGTTCTCGTATAGAAACTTTTTTATTTGTAGAGAGTATTCTTCTAACGATGTTAACGCTTTTCCTTGCTTTAGTTTTCATTGGACCTATACGCTCCTTGACTATTTTCAACAAATGTTTTATAGAATTTATGTATAGAGTTTTTTTTTTTTGTATTTTTGGGGAGTGCGGGGTTGGTTGGAGATGCCAATCCATATTTTTAACTCCATTGCTTAAAAAACAAGTTTTTGCTAAACAACAGTTGTGTTCGGGATCGTTTCCTGCTGATATATTCATTTTAAAAACATTACCGACTAAGCAAAACGTAGAGTGACATTTTATGCAAAGTTATTTAGTCAATTCTAAATTCTCAGATCTTAAGCTACGTAGCCAGGATATATTGAAGGAGGGCACAACATAGAAGCGATAGAACTTAGAAGGCTAATACCATGAGTCTGTTGCTTTACTACCACTTTACATACAGCATGTTGCCCATTATTTTTACTACCGCCTGTTGATTTTTTTCTGTCTATTATAGAGGCATATGAGTATTTTAGTTTCTGCAAGCTCTCTCCAACACCACAAAGCCATAGTAGATATCGCAAAGCCCAATAACTTTTTGTCTAACCTCGCTTATCCCATATCTGTGGTGCCAGTATTGTTAGGCTTTGTATTTCCGAGGACAGATACACCTTTTCACCATTATATAGGAGGAGCATGTTTATTATAAGCTCGCCAATTTAATTTATAAATATTTATAAGTCCGTATCTATCTGTATTATGTAATATATTCAGCTGAAGAATAAGGAATTACTAAAGTTGAATTTTACCAAAAATTTTGGTTGTTTTGAACTGCCAAAATTAGATTTTTGATCAGTTTAAAATTTACCTAACACGCAGAAATTTAATAGTGATCAGCGGATTGGTCGCAAAATAACCACTCAACTAAATTTGAAAAACTTACTTTAAGAAAAGCGTGTTTAAGATAAACTGATTTAGCTGATTAAACTGAACAGCGTTAGAAGGCTGTAACTCAAAAACTATTAGAGATATAGATTTAAAAATTTTTGTATTTTGTTTTTAAAGGTATAACCTGTCAAAATATGAAATGAAAATTTTATTTGTTTTAATTTCCCTCTACGTGTGCCCCTTAAACATCCTGTATTAACACCTTAGTTTGATTTCCAAGATAATTATACTTTAATCTTTTTGAAAGTTTATTGAATCAGAAATATAAATTTTTGAACAAAAATATTTGATGACTGCTACAACATTTCAATTTATATACAGTATGCGTTAGTTTAAATTATTTTTGCAAAAAATCCCGTTAGTTTCGGCAGACGCAGACACCGCTACCATTACAATAACCGCCACGATTGCCACGAATTACGCAATGGGCCGCACAAGCGCTGTGATTAACACCGGTTCCGCTCAACAGGTCACAAGTAGCGCGCTTTTGACGACTCAACTCCACCGCAGACTCTTCCTTCAGCACAGCCAATTGCGCGTCAACGGCCTCTAGAGCAGCTGTATCAGCGGGAGCTGCTTTGGTGCTGTGAAACAGGCAGAAAGCGCAGAGGAGACCAGCGAAAAGCACGACTGTCTTCATGTTGCAAGGATTTAGGTTTGAGTTGAATTGGTTTTACTGCAAATAGTTACTGCTGCTTCAGGCGCTAGAGATAGTTTGATGTTTAATTCAGTTGTTCAACTCGGTTTTATACTGAATTTGAGCCCAGCTTGCTGTCATATTCGTGATATTGCGTCCATATAAGTTTGGGATCCCCAATTGATTGATAGGAAACTGACAGTCGTTTTTTGTGGCATCATGTAACATGTAAATTTACTGATAACTTACTTATTGTTTTTCCGGGGAATTACGTTCTATTTCAGAAGAAAAAGCTTATACCTTCAAGAAACTCTATCCTTCGTAAAAACACTCTTTAAATAGATATGAATGTATGTTTGTCCCCTTGAAAAATCAAAATAGCAGTAGAATATTTTTATTGATCAAAAGCACCTGTGAGAGTGTGTGTGTGTATCTAAACCTGGTCGTTTGCATTGAAAGCCAATGGCGGAAGTATTGTGTCACGTTTTCTTTGCCTGTGTTAAGTTCATAAATCTATATTATCAATGAGCGAATAATATTACAATTACAAAGAACGTACGCGAGCACAACACACTCTTTTACCCCCGAAGAAGCATATAGCTGCAACTGAACAATCAAAACCAAGTTTTTGTAATGAAAACTTTTTTTTATTTAAAAAGATATCTTCACGAAATTTGGCATGGATTACTATTCAAAGAAACGATACAATCTCCAAAAGATCGGACCATTATAGCATATAGCTGCTAATCAAACTGGCCGAAAAAATCAAGAAAAATATATTTTTATACTTATCTATGCTAATATTTAAATTAATTATACATAGAAATAAAAAATACAATTTTTTACAAGCGGACAAGTTTATCGACTGGGCTTAATGCGCAAAGCACCCATATCCAAGTTCAATTCGTCAATAATATCATTCTGTGCCGCGCCTTTATTTGTCATATTCGCTATCATGGCCTGAATCTCTGGACAGCCGTAACAAGCATTGCGAATGGCCAATATGCTCCACTCTTTCAGAACTAGAAAGATAACAGTTACAATTAAAAACCAAATGTTATTAAAAATATTAATAAATTAGAATACTTACGTGGATTTCGTGCATCCATATTGGTACATTCCAGCAAAGTGGGCAACAATTGGATGTCTATGCAGTAACCTTGATTAGATGGATTTTTATAAAGCAAATTAGCAATGCAACGCATCAATAAGGTTTTCAGCTCAAATGACAATTCCGTTTCGAAATCACGCGATATGTTCGATGTGAGCGCTACTTCTTCCAATTTATTCATGGGTGTGAAAATATTTTGCGACTCTTTACCCACTTGCGCCAGGCAACGTAACAGGCTACTCACATTCAAAAACAGTGACTGTTCGCTCACATATTTATCTGCATAGAATTCACTTCCAGTCGCGCTGGCAATTACACGCAAGAGCGCATAAGCTTCACGGGCGGGCATTGGATCAGTGGCAGGCACCTGGGCGCTATCCGGTTTGCAGATTAATATACGATCAGATTTCATATTGAACTCTTTGGTTATGTATTTCAACAGAAATTGATGTATATGCCCATTTGGACTGTCTTGACGAAGATAATGTACTAAATATTCTAGAAATGAAATGCGTTCCGCAGATGTTAAGTGTGCATAATAGCGTACAGTATTGTGTCCGCCATGTACAATGAAATGCTCAAACAGAAAATGCAGAAATTCATAGTTATCTTCGCTGCGTTCATCCACAATTGTTTGCCAAGTGCGAACTGCAGCACATAACGCATGTTGCTCCATATTCGACACTGCAGAACATTTCAGCACATTGTAAACTATCATAAGCAGTATATTAGTATGACGTCCCAGTGGTGCTACCAATCCACACTTCACAATAGCAGCGCCATGACGTTTCCAAATGTTGCGTTGCGAGTTTGGATTTTGTACAATTGCATTCGCGAGTAACTGCAGCGCCATTAGTTGCAGATTTTGTGGTGGTCTAGGTGTAATTCTGCTATCGAATAGTAACTGATGCAACTGATCGTTGAATTGTTCATGTTCAGCAATTGTATTCTGATGCGCCGGATCTTCGGCACAAAGATTTCGCAGAGTTTTCAGTTGCTCGACATAATGAAGCGCATTTGTGTCATCCAGCGGTGGCGTCTGCATGAATATTTGGATTCTTTTAAGGCTCTCCAGCGGTTCAGTGCTGGAGAATTTGTACATTTTTATTAATTTTTTGTGGAAGAAAACCAAATACTTACTTTTTACTGCAGTCCATGGTTTTGCCTACAATTTGTTTACGTTTTTATCAAATTTTGACAGCCCGCGATGTAGTGAACATGTGAGCTGCTACAGGGTGACCTGAATAATAATGATATAGGAATGCATGGCAGAGTCATCACAGAGAACGTATATGATATCATATATGATATCTGTACATACGTTCTTTATGAACGGTGTCTTATTTTGACAGCATGAAAATGACATCCGTAACACAAAAATATAAAATTGTGATTTGTTTAAAAATTATTTACCTCATTATATATATTTGTTTGTACTCATTTACTAAAATGTAATTTAATATTTATCCTTGTTCTATTTTTAGGTTGGAAAATATTTGTCAAAAAAACCAATTCTTGTGAACATGGCATAAGTAAAATTGAAAATTGAAACTTTTATTTTTAATGTAATAATAAAAATTAAAAATTTTATTATTTAATTAAAAAAATTTTTTTTTTAATTTCATGGTAAAGTATTAACATCTTGGAGTAAAAATTAAGAATATATATGTTTTTTTATTTCAAAATTGGAGTAACAAATGAAAACACTATTTTTCAAATTAAAAGCTGGAATGAAAAATGGGAAAATAGGAAACATTTACCTATTTCTAATTGAAACACTACAACAAAAAGCAATTAAACATAAGAAAAATAAAAAGATTTAAGTTATGTTGATATTTTATTAAAAATATGCTTTCCTTTCCAAAAGATAATAAAAAGGATTAGACGCAAAATATGTAAAATCTAAAACAATTTTTTTTTTAGTTTTTAATTATAAGTTTGTGATTATATATAATTTTGTAATCCGATATTTGGAATCAAACAAAAATAATTTTTAATCCATTTTTCGGATTAAACTTTATCATATTTGTAAATAAAATTTTTTTTCAAGGAATTAAAACTTTAAAATTATTTTTAATTAAGATTGAGATAACAGAATAAACATTTTTATTGATATAAACACTTATTTTAGTTATCATAATTTTTAATTTTAAACCAGACTGGGGAACCTTGAGAAATTATGAAAGTATTTAATTAATGTCTCATATTCTAGAAAAAGTGGTTTATTTTGGATTTTGATACTTAGTATAGGTAAAAACAACAAATAAAATTTTTGGTGTTTAATGCTTTTATTATTTTTATTTTTAATCTAACAACAAATAACAAATAGTATGCAAAAAACATTGTGTCAACTACAAACCAGGCAAAATTTTGTTATAATTAACGTTTTATTTACAATACAATGCAACGCGGTTACAGAATTAAATTGTTTTTGAATATAAGCAACATGGATGGATGGTCTACAGACCATAAATAATATTCATGTCGGAAAATACATAATGTGATATACCTGAAAGCTAAATCATATTAAAAACCTTTTCTCGATCGGAAATAGAGATTAAACTAGGTTTTGGAGATGTAGTGTCAATATACCACAGTTGAAAGTATGACTTCAATAATGAAATTGGATCACTAGATCTAGGCGTTTGTAGCATATCGGTAGATGCTAATCAAACTGCTAGCATAGTAGATTTAAGTTGATTTAAAAGATTTTAAGAGTTTATAGAAGAATTATGAAAATCACTGAGAAGAGTAATTTAGCAGAAAGTTAGGAAAGCACTTTTAAAATGCTAATAAGCATTTAAAATTAACCCATAATTTGAATTCTCTCGAAGAGAGGAAGACGGTTTCTCTTTGAATTTCACTGCCAGTTTTCTACCTTAATAATTAATTTATTTTGGAGTCTCTGAAATATTAAAAAAATTATTTTAAATACTTGAACATAGTCACCAAATTTTCAAATACAGTTGATTTCATCTAATCGAAAGCATAGAAAATTATTAGATAGCAGTTTTTATATCCCGAAAATTCAACTATCTACCCGTCATTCAAATCATATCCTGAAGCGGTATATCTAATTGAAACACTACAACAAAAGCAAATAAACATAAATAAACTAAAAGAATAGCTTAAAATTAAAAATATGCTTTCCTTTCCAAAAGATAACAAAAGGATGAGACAAAATATGTAAAATCTAAACAATTTTTAGTTTTAATTATAAGTTTTGATTATATATAATTTTGTAATCCGATATTTGGAATCAAACATTAAAATAATTTTTAATCCATTTTTCGGATTAAATTTAATTTCATCCGATATTTGTAAATAAAATTTTTTTTCAACGAATTAAAACTTTAAAATTATTTTAATTAAGATTTTCGAGACAAGAATAAACATTTTTATTGATATGTTAATTCACTTATTTTAGTTAATATAATTTTTAATTTTAAACGACTTGGAACCTTAGAGAGACATTAAGAAAGTATTTAATATAATGTTCTCATTCTAGAAAAAGGTATTTTGATTTGATATTAGTATAGGTAAAAACAACAAATAAAATTTTTGGTTTACTGTTTATTATTTTTATTTTATTTTTAATCTAATAACAACAAATACATTAATATGTATGCGAATTAAAAACAATGTCAACTACAAACCAAAGGCAAATATTTTTTATATATCTGTTTATTTTTACAATTACAATGCAACGCGGTTACAGAATTATGAATTGTTTTTGTAATATAAGGCAACATGGATGAGTGGTCACGAGAAAGGCACATTTCGTTTGAATTTTGCTTATGTATAAAGGTATATAAAAATAAGATGAAATTTATATGCCATATACGAGCTGTACATCTGTTTGTTGGTTTGTTTTACTGAGCTGTGCAGACACTAATATCGCTTGAATATCTCTTTGTATATAAAATTTATTTTTATTTTATTTTCAAACTAAAATTGTGTTACACTGAATTTTTGTAATTTATTGCCCTTTATTTAAGTTAATTGTCACTGCAGTAGTATAATCAATTAATTTTTGGAAATAGCTTTGACTAGTTTTATTAGTAAACATGTGGGCTTTATTCGCGGCCGATTTGTTCTGGCTCTCTTGTTGTTGTGTTTCAAGCCTCACTTTATGCTTTTTAGCAAATTAAATATAAATTATTATTTTCCAACGCTAACTTTGTGTTAATAATTTATATGTATATAATGTAAGAGTTATGTTCTTCAACATTAATATATGTAAATAAATGTTTTTTGTTTTTTTATGTTTTGTTTTAAGTTTAACCATTACAAGTCTGCAAAAAAAATAATAATGTATGTATAAATCAACAAAAATTAAATGTAATTTATTTTATCTTTAATATTGCAGCTCTGGTATTTGTTTGTTTTATTAATATTTAATTTCTTTGATTGCTTTCATTAAATTTGTTCATCAACTAAGTGTTCATCTATTTGTTTGTTTTTTTGTGATTATTGTATGTGTGTGTGTTTGTTAGAACGCATTGACCAGTTCCACTGGCGCCAACCATGCACTGAGGCGCTCAGCGTACTCCCACATAGTTGCCGGGAAAGGTGCCGAAGCAGCCCGTACGACGTGCCCACGAACCAGCCGTCGTCGCATATCTCCAGCACATGGACGATCGTCTCCAGCAGCTCCATTTCGTCAGAGTTCTGCGGTCGGTACTTGTGAGTGCGCGAAACTGTGAAAGTATAGAGCGAAATTAGGAATATTAATTTAAATTGTTAGTTCTTCTAACTTACACTAGAGGCTCTGAATGCGTGTCCACGTGTAGTGCATCAATTTGTTGTTGTGGTGTTTGTTCGAGTATGCCATTCGGTGGCTGATAGGCTATTTAATATTGAACTCGTTATTAATATTTGTGTAGTAGTGTGTAGTGAGGGACGTAAATTCGTGACGCTCGCCTGTTCGGATAACGGTGAGCGGCAATCTTCGGCGCCAATATCGAGAGCCTGAAAGTAGCATAATATTTTGATAGGTAATATTTTTAAAATTATACTCGTTTACTCACCTCAACATATGACACTGGGAAGATTCTTCTATTCGCTATTTTGCCCTCAAACCATTCTCATCCACGCGTCGTGTCAGTGTGACCTGTCCTTTTTCAGCGACACTATGCCGGATTGCGCTTGGAAGTTATATTTGGCACGCGCCTGTCCTCTGATGGTTTCTTTGGTTGTTGACGAGCAATTTCTTTGTTTACGACCTACGAGAAATAAATTTAGTCTAATTTAATGAACTTGAATTTCGCATTAAATGTTTAAAGTTAAAGAGGTCACTCCCAAAATTTTAGCAAATTGTTAAAATTTATTATTATTCTTGATATTAGAGTTTGAAATACATTTTTCGAAAATTTAGAAATATTGATTAAATTATTTGAAAGACGATTTCAACGGGTTGCCACTTTTTGAAAAATATTTTTAAGTAGTACACCATATATATTTTTCTATAAAATTTTTACAAAACTATTTTTAAAACGTAAATTTTTCTTCTGAAGCTACATCTCATTTTTATGCTTTTTCTCATTCCTTATAATTTTCCAACAATGGCAACACTCACCTCCACATAGCTCACAGGCAGTAGACCAATCATGGTATAAATTCACCTTCAACAATTACGATCAATTTGGCGGCGTATGTAAATGATGATGTCGCCTTCTTGAATGTGAGTTCTCTGCAACCATTTCACATGATTTTCAATTTAACATATTATATGCATTTCCAATTTACCTTGCATGTCCTTGGAAGTTGTATAGCGCACGCTGCCGTTCGTGTTGTTATCGCATTCGGCGATTTGGCGCCAAATCTGATTGGAAGTCATCATAACGATTTAACGGTATTGGTGATTTTGTGTTGGTGTAAGTTATCGGTGTGGCGACGTGCATTCATATCCTGCAACTCCTGTAAGTACTTGCGACGACCTTCCGATAAAGCTTTTGCATTTGTTCGGTTGCCGTTGTGCTAACTCATCCGATGCTGGCCTGTTTGTTCATGACGTATTGGTGTCTTGAAATGGATATTTCATCCGATTCAGATAACGATTTGGAGATTCTAAGGGAGGAGAATTAAGGGAGCAAATGTTATTAACGGCAGTTTTTGTTGTTGTAGCAATAAAGTGTATTTTAGACTATAGTTGAATTGGCTGTTAGAAAGAGCATTAAATTATTTAGTTTATGCGCTACAACGCCTTGTTCAAGTGTTTAACATTTTCTACTGATACACGTGGGAGCCTTAATTGAGTTATATTATTTTTAGGCATAAAACTCAATTATAAGCAAATGGCTTGAAGCAACTTGTAGATCCTTATCGGTTGAGTTTTAGTTATTATTCAGATCTTCATATGTATATTTCTGAATAATCTTAGAAAAACTTTATTAGATCTAAGCTATAAGTGTTGAGTTTTCAGTTTTCGTGAAGTTTTTTTTGATTCATGGGATCTGCTCTTTCGATGAACTACAAATATGGTTGTATGATGATTTATATCTTCTAATCAATCATAAAAGCATATAATAGTTTATTATAATTAATCTGAATATTTCTATTTGTGTTGTACGTTTTGATGATATTCGACCAAAATAGTTCTTAGGATTCAAGTCTGCTTTTGGAAACATTTATTAATTTAATAAATAATATTTTCATGTCGGAAAAATACTATAATGTTTGATATTACCTACAGAAAGCTAAATCATATTAAAAAAACCTTTTCTCGATCGGAAATAGAGATTAAACTAGGTTTTGTGGAGATGTAGTGTCAATATACCACAGTGGCCGCAAAGTATGACTTCAATAATGAAATTGGATCACTGCTAGATCTAATGGCCGTTTGTAGCGCATATCGGTAGATGCTAATCAAACTGCTAGCATAGTAGATTTAAGTTGATTTAAAAAGATTTTAAGAGTTTATAGGGAGCCAGAATTATGAAAATCACTGAATGAAGAAGGTAAATTTTTTAGCAGAAAGCTTAGGAAAAGCACTTTTAAAATGCTAATTATTAGCCATTTTAAAATTAACCCTAATTAATTTGAATTCTCTCGAAGAGAGGAAGACGGTTTTCTCTTTGGAATTTCACTCGCCAGTTTTCTACCTTAATAATTAATTTATTTTTGGAGTCTCTGAAATATTAAATAAAAAATTATTTCTTAAATACTTGTGAACATAGTCACCAAATTTTCAAATACAGTTGATTTCATCTAATCGAAAGCATAGAAAATTATTAGATAGCAGTTTTTTTATATCCTGAAAATTCAACTATTCATACCCCGTCATTCAAATCATATCCTGAACGCGGTATATTCAGTTTGCTATGAAGTTCTCTCAGTTTTTGAGATATCGGTCTGCAATTTTGCACAAATCTTTATCTTACGAAGAAGCTGCTCATTTGTCGGAACCGCCGTTATCGACCCGCTATAGCATATAGCTGCCAAACAAACTGACTGATCCATATCAGGTCCATGTATGAAAAACTTTTTTATCTGACAAGATATTTTCACGAAATTTGGCACAGATTATTGTCCAAAGCAGCGCTACAATCTCAAATTCAAGTTCTTGTATGGAAAACTTTTATATTTGTGAATGCTATTATGGCTTCGATGCAACCGAAATTAACATTCGTATTTGCTATTATACATATGCATATTGATTTACTTCTACCTTAATAGCAAATCAACGGTTCAACGCTGATGAATTATTACAAACCCTTATTGATAAATTATTTACATTCTTTCATATAATAATACATTACAACCCCATTACCATGTAATGTTTATTGTTGTTGTTTTTTAATATACGTAACACAAAATTCCACGAATTATTTATGAGTTGCGAGCAATTCATTCATTAATATTTTTATTACCGCGCTTGAGACATTTTACTGGCATATTGACACAAAATATGTATGTGTCTTATTATAAAAGCACTGCATTGAAAAGCACTAGTTCAGAACTAAAGCAGAATGCACTCATAAGAAGGTGGTACTATTTTATTTCTGGAATTATTAATGCTTTCAAGTGTCACTTTTCATATGAATATCTGCGAAGAGGTTACGATTAACAGCACTACAGGGCTTTAGAACGTGCCTTTAAGTGCTTTCAGGAGAGATATTAAATTTTACTGTTATTTCTACAAATTGGTATTAACTTCTTTCGAATTCCACAAATACTGAAATTGTCACGAAATTTGTGGCGCAGAACTAGCGCTTTGTCTGTATGTGGTTCTGTTTGTGCTTCGCTGTTTGGATTTCTTTACATTTAATTAGATTTATGTTTAATTGCGCTAAAAACACAATTAGAAAATGTATAGCAATTGTCACGCGCCGAAAGCCAACAACAAACGAACAATGCAAGTCAAGTCTCAATGAATGGTTAAATGAATGATGACGCTCTCTCTGCGACAGGTGCGAGTACTAATTTTTTTGTTGTGTTTTGTATTTGCTACTTATTTGGTCTAATGAAATTCGAAACCATTAAAAAAGCAGTTAGCTTAGAAAAAGAGGCTTTTAATAGTCTATATATGTACATATGTGTATATTTCTATGTTTACATACCGTCGTCAGCGCACACGTTAAAAAAAAAAATTAAAAAATATTTCTATATATATAATTACAAACGAAAACCCAAGCCTTAACAATACGACTAGAGAAAATAGACTGTCACTGATTGCTGTCATTCAAATCATTAATCGTTCAGTGGAAACTTGATCGCCTCAATGTTTTTCAATTGTTTGTAGATACACTTTTGCCTTGACATAAAGAACTTAGTGATGGCCGACAAAGAAAAGCAGAAACGCGGGAGTCTTATGCGCCGGCAGCGCTTAACTCACATATGCACATACATACATACACTCGAGTATATATGTATTTATTATATATTTATGTACATAAAGTATTTGCGTCGCCACAAATTTATTGAATAAAGTAATTGTCGAATAACAGCAAATAATAATTGTCAAATAACAATTAGTAGGTCGCCGCCGCAAAGCGCGTGCTCGCTTGGGTGCTGGCGAAAGAGTGGGGCGGCAAGGGGAACTACAGACTGACTAGCTACTAGTCACTAGCGAGTAAGGGCTAGCGTATGTGCTGTTAGACCTTCGTTGGGTGGTTCATAACAATTCAAATCGTATGAGCACACTACATAATGCAAGCGTATATGTGTGTGTGTCAAAGCGGAGAGTGGACGAGCGGTTTGGGTGGCTGGTGGCTAACACGACAGACGTCTCAAGCTGTCTGCCTCGCCTTCGGTTACAAAAGTGAGGTAAACAAACAGGTAAATAAAGAAAAACAAAGCAAGAAAACAAAATAGTATATGTGTGTGTGTGTGTGTGGCAATTTGTTATTGCATATGAAATACAACACATTTTTATCTAATTTCCTGACTTTATCTGCAGATAAGCTTTTTTAAAAGAAATTTAATTTGTACGTCTGGCGTGGCATTTTCCGCATGAGCAGCTGGAAATTGTTTAATTATTTTGATTGCCGTTATGCATAAATTTCTTGTTGTGCTGTGATTGAAAGAGAAAAAACTAATAATTGCATGCATAACTAGTAATTGCATACATACATACATACATATATACCCATTTTCGAAGTGTAAATAATAATCAATAACCGTATGGGGAAATAACGCAAATAAAAAGCAGGAAATACGTTAAAGTAGAGAGAGTTACAGATTACTGTAACGTTAATTAAATATGTGTTAATTAAATATGAGATCTATATCAGAATATTTTCACTACTATTACTTAAATGTTCACTTAAAGGTTGTTTCGTGTATTCAACAAAGGAAGAGAAAAGTGATTGAGTAATAGCAGAAAATTGATAGAAAGAAAAAATAAACTGGCTAAGTAGAACCAAGCAAATGTAGAACAAACCAATTTTGTTTGACCCAGAAACGATTTGATTTAGTAGCTCAAACTATTCTCTTCTGAATGGCTTTACAGCAATGTGTTAAATAAAACCATAAACACCAAAATAGTAATAGACAAAATACTGCCAAAAACTGAAAAATAATTACAGACCAAAAGACAAAAGCTAAAAAATCAAAAAAAAAAAAATAACGCAAATTGCTAGTTTGATGCGGTTAATTGATTGTGCGCCAGCCGAACCAGCTTGTCACTTAGCGTTTGTCTGCGGTCTGTGCGCCGCAGCGCCAGCTGTCGGACGAGCTTTGTCTTGTGATGCCGGTTATATGCGGCGCGTTTAATTTACACTTTCACTACTGCGCAAGCGGGCAACAACTTTTCCACAACACTTTTCCCACAACTTTTTTTTTATTTTGCGTTTAACTTTTTTGTTCCGTTTTGTTATTGCTTTTTCACAGTGACTTTAACAAAAGCGCTGCTTGGCGGGTTAACTACCTAAGCATGTATAAAATTGCACATAAAATACCTCGAAAAGCATTGCACTGCATTTGACGGTGTGTGACGGTGTGCGGCGCGGCGACCAACGACGTCGTCAGATAAGACAACTTGTAGACACTAAACTAAACTGAACTGAATTGAACTTTATGGCCGTATGTAAAATTAAGTGTTTTCCACTTTTTTTGAACCGTTATTCAACGAACAATACAATCAGCGCGGCGTGTGGAGATTGCGGTGTGGCAAGCTGAGACGCACGCTTCGAATTACGCGCGTATCAATTGTTTGCTAATTAGAACAGTCCACAAATAACAAAAACAATAATGCAAAGCGCACAAATACTAGCTAAGATTACATGCAGTTCGATGCCGCAGTCCCTAATGTTATCTTTGCGCGCGGCGGCATGCCACTGTCGCTCGCATGGCCTAACACTTACTCGAATTTAATTCTATTATATCCAGTGAACGTGCCTATAGTGCTTGATTCGTTGAAGTTTTTTTTGTTCTCTCAATTTAGCTTTCTATTTGCCTCAGCTGCTGAGCGTTCGCGAAAGTCTGCTTGAACCCACTTGAAATGAAAAATTCGATACAATTCAACCGTTAACCGTTAGCGTCTGTACATTACTGGCGGGCGTGCATCGTACAACTGTTTGTGGCGCCGTTCAATCGAGTCACTCAGCCAGTTGCTCCACTGCCGGCTGCGCTACTCCCAGTGGGCTCGACTGTGCATGCTTCTGGCGCAGATTTCGCGATGTGTCTCAGTCGTCAAGTACTCGGGTGTACTCACGTACTTTCATTTAGATTTGCAACGGTCTTTTATTAAAGTGACTGATTTTTATGTACTGTGGTGTATTTGGAACATTTGTGTGGGAAATATTATCTCTGAAAATAACATTCTAGTGATTGTGGAAAGAAAGACTAATTTTCTAAAAATAACTTATCGCTCCTCCTTATCTTTGAAAAGTTACATCAAAGTTACTAAAAAAAATCGAGAAGTCATTGAAAACTTGTCTCATTCCGGTCTTCCATGCATTGCTGTAAATGAAGTTAAAATCTATAAAGTTAAAGAAATAGCGCTTAAAAATCGTCCAGTTGACTTCAAGGAGATAGCGGAAGATCTCAACATCTCTTACGGATGGAGTCAAGACATTTTGGTTTAGGTTTTGGGTATGAAGCGAGTCAATACTAAACTCGTACCAAAATACCGGAAACCTTTTACAAAAGCGATATTGAGTGGCGGTCGCTAAATAGATGCTTGACAACGCAGATGTGGACCCTAGATTAATCAAACGCATGATTACTGGTAGTTTATGAATATGACGTCGAAACTGTCTAACAATATAGGGAATGTCACCGAAAACAACAAAATTCGCTGCAGGCATTGACGGTCATTACAGGCTTTTAACAAATGTATGGAAAATTGGATTAATCGTTGGCAATGCTGATATAGGCTCAAGAGCCTATTTTGAAGACTTTCGGGTAATTTTGATCCTGTGGTAAATCTTGCATTCGATAAAGAGCGTTCCCACGTTGACCTTAAGCATAATTTCTCCATTTAATTTCTGATTATTGTTGTTATATATCTCCGTTAAAGATGCCTGTATACCCTTTAGAGAGATATTTTACTATTTCTTCTAAATTGAAAATAGATAATTTTCTTACAATTATTAATATTTCACAGTTCCTCGAAAATATTTATGTTTTCTTTCAACTTCTATCCACCTTGTATCACTGTAATCATATGCTATTTGACTTACTGACTTATGGAGCGCGCGCGAAATTGCTCGTTACTCTCATTTGACGCACTACCGTAACGACAGACTCTCCACTCGGTTTCTTCATACTAACACTTTTACCATGATTACGATTTTCACATGTGCCACGAGGGTAATTCGTAGTTAATTCACTTGTAGTTGTAATTAATATCTCAACAATGCGGTTAAATTGTTCACTCTTATACCCAGCCGTCGACGCTTCTCGCAAAAACTGAGTACCGATTTATTGTGTTGCTTTACAACAACTTTACGTGATAACAATTTTTGTTGTTGTCTTACTTTAAAGCAGCGATATGTTTACCTTTTTGCCATTTGTTTATTCTTCATGAAAGCTCTGGGTGCCACGCTACGCGATAGCTTCATTTTTAGATTGTCTCTTTTGTGTTTGCGTTAATTTTGGAATTCGTTTAAGTGTTACGTTAAGATTTAGGTACGTAAGAAATAATTTTCGAGTGTCGACAGTTCCACCCTCTACTTATTGTTATAATTGCCATTGTAATTGCTTTTGTGGAGCGCTGAGAGAAATTATATTAAATTAAATTCTTATGTTTTTGTCAAATTGAGTCGAATTAGTGTACTCAATTAAATGCTTAAGTAAATGAGGGGTTTTGTGTGAGTGTGAGAAAAGAGAAAGGAGGGTTATACTATAGTGGATTAAGTTCAACCTGCTTTGTTTTTATACATATGTCATACCACAAAATTGTGAGACGTAACAGAATCACGTCAGAGTCGCTGTTTAGATGGCACTACTTATTATAATTATATAAGTTATTTAGATTATAATAAAAGTTCGAAAACGTTTGCCAACTGCCTAAAATTATCTGTTATGGAAAGTTAGTAAAAAAAACAAGTAAGGAGTGGTTAAGTTCGGGTGTAACCGGAAATTTCATACTCTTGCAAGTTGCAAGGAACAAAGCCGGGAAAATACCTTCAGGAGTTGGCAAAACTTTATATTAGAAATGTAGCGAAAATGTATTTTGAAGGTCATAGACTCACTTAGTTTTATTACTATATTATATACTTCCTGTCAGCGAAAATTATACTAAAATCATTGGGGGCTTTCTCAATTTCCTAAATATAACTTGCACATTGATTGATATATATGGTATTAAGCTCGAATATTAGGTATATGAGAGCTAAAGGAAGTATTGATCCGATTCAACGCATTTTTGACACAAGGTTATATTATTATCAAAAAAACATTTTCCCCAAACTTCAATTATATATCTCACAGATTGCCAGATATTTTCGGCAAAAGTCATCCATAGGCTCTGGGGTCCACATTTCCGCTTGAATAGTTATAGTCGGACTTTGACAATTTTTGGACCTGAGATGACATAACGTAAAGTAAATATTTGTATCCCGATATATCCCGATATATTAACTAGTGTTTCATTTGTACATATACTGGAAAGTGAAAAAAAATCAGTTGGAATTTAAGGTTATATGGAAAGTAGACGAGGTTACTGTCCGGTTTCGCCCATTTTCGCACTTAGGAATGTCCAAATAATCTTATGTTACAAATTTGGTTGACATTGTTGGAGTAGGTTCGGAGATATGTAATTTAACATAAATATGGGCGGTGCCACGCTTATTGTTCAATTTTGACAACTGCTCCTTTAAAGCCCTTTTGTGTCATCTCGGATGTAAAATTTAATATCCCTGACACATTTCGTTATTGATTTGTCGCAGTTTTAGCAGTTTTTAACAAAACCGTTATATGAGGAGTGGGCGCGGTTATTATCCGATTTCACCTACAATATTGTCTTGCTGTCGTAAGAAGTGTCGAAATTATATGTTTTGTGCAAATTTGGGTGATATAGGTTGAATAATTTGGGAGATACATATATACATTAAACATTTTTGAGGTTGCCACCTGTTTATAACTTATTAAAGTACTTAAAGTTTAAAAATTTATGGAGAAAGGCTGCCTTTTGCTTAAATTTTTTGTTCAATTAAATTCATTAACTTAATGAAATAATTTTATATTAACATCACACTAAATAGATTTAAGAAAAAAATTTTTTTGAGAAGAGTTGCACTTGTTTCTAAAATTTACTTAGAAACGTTTGTCACAAAAACTCAGCTAAATTTTTTTTTTTTTATTTAAATCTCTGTATTCTCTTAATTGCCTTTTGCTACGCTTCAGTTGCTGTTAATATTATTGTAAATATGTTTTTGTACTTGAAAACGTCATTTCACACAGTCCACTTCACATATGAGGGTCACTGTTATTAAATTCAAATGTGTGCATGTGCGTTTTTAGCAGTCTCCCGCATTAAGTGCATTGTGACTCGTGTCATTTATTAGAACAACTTTTTCTAAGGAAATAGCCTTCTTTTGTTCCGTTTTTTGGCGGTTAAATTCTAGCCTTTGACTGAAGGAGTTCGCTACATGGCATTTATGCCAAGGCTTCGCAGTGTAAATTACTTTAAATTGCATTTAATAGCTAAAATTATTATTTCTCAAAGGCATTTGGCATATTTGGAAGGATTTAAATTTTATATGTGCCAAATATAATTGTATGCAAATTTCTGAAAATTGCCCTACTTTAGAGAAATGGAAAATGACTTCGTAATTATTTTGAATAAATAAAGGTTATATGCAATATATACTAACTTTAATATCTAGATTGTATACTGAAACTCCGTCACGGATGGGAAAATTAGTTGAAAATGAACTGTGAAACGAAATTAATAAAGTATATACATATGTAAATGCATATATATGATGATTTTTATACCTTGAAGAGTATATTAAGTTTGCCATGAAGTTCGTAACAGGCAGAAGAAAACGTCGCAGACTCAACAAAATATTATACATATAAATAAAAGTTATTAGCGGAACGAAATGATTCGATTTATTCATATCCGTCTGCTGTCTGCCGACGTGAGGATATCTAACTACAACTAAAATCGACTTTCACTTTTTCAGATTTATTTTTTACTCATATAATTAGAGAGAATATGATATTCTTTAAATAAATAAATTTTAGAAAAGTTTTTGAATTTCAACCTGGCCTAATCTTAATAGTTTTTGTTGGACTATTTTCAAAATTATTTCTTGAGTAAATTTAAACGATAGTGATTCATATAGCGATCTTACTACAGTAGAACATATGTAAAAGGAACCCTATAGTAGGGATTTATATCTGGTCAAAGCTTATCATCAGATTGCCTATTTTACCATCCCAGTTATTACTCAATTGTAAACAACCACTTCATTCACTTTAGGTGAGCAGTACATTTATACTCCTGCAACATGTTGCTACAAAGTATAAAAGTTTTGTTCACATAACGGTTGTTTGTATCACCTAAAACTAATCGAGCTAGATATGGAATTATAAATATTTATAAAAGATCAGGATGACGACACGAATTGAATTCCGAGTGACTGTGACTGTTTGACATGCTTACATTACAGTGAAACCAAAATCAGACAAATACCACGCCTCCTTTCCATATAACACAATTTAAAATTCCAATTTTATTCTTTACCTTTCCAATATACAAATCGAAAACAAATTAATGTATCATAATGTGCATTTGAGATATGCCACCTTATGGCCAAAAATTGTCCAATTCGGTTTGATCTTTGCAATGTGCGAAAGTTGAAAATGTTCAGTTACACCAGAATTTAGCTCTTCCTTACTTGTACTATCCTTTAATAAACATTCAAGTATATATAGAAAGTATACAACCTTATGTGCTATATTTTGAGCAAAGTAAATCTATTTTAGTTACTGCTGAAGCTATAAATTTGAACCCGCCTTAACTGCATTGACATACTTTCCACTTCAAAATATTGCACTATGCAAATCGCTCTCGCTCCACACACACATTCCCACACACAATAATGCAAATAGGGCACTAGGATACTAACTAGAGTGACGGCGCCTGTTGAATACCAACGGCACCACTGCTTCAATGGCGCGCTGGTTAGCTAGGAAGTCCTGTTTGCGCTCCGGCAACGGCGTATAAGGCAGCCCCTTGGCATTGGTACGTATACGCACATTTTGCTCGCGATCATAGTAATAACCTTTACTAGCGGCAAAAGTGCGCGCTGCCTCATAGTCATTGTCCACTGGTACGCCGACTGTCTCGCGACTCACCCACAGTATTTTACCGCAATTGGCAATATTGCAGGAGTCGCTGGAGCGTTGGCGCGACCAGCGGTGTGTTGCAAGCGTTGCACTGTTATCAGTTGTTGCATTGTTGCTGGCGCCGACAGGTGTCTCGATGCGTTCAAATGCGGGCACTTTACCGGCTAACGCACGCGGCGTAGCAGTCAGCGGCTCTTGTAATGCACGTAAATCATGACAACTCTGATGCAAGCGACTCGGCGTTGTTGAGGTTGGTATGGCGGGCGTGTTGTTGCTGTTGGTGATGTTGTTGGCCAAGTTGGTGGCGCGAGCATAATGCTGTAGTTGTTCCGCATTCAAATGGTATCTGCGGTTTGTGGCCACCGTACTCGGCGGCAAGTGGAAACCATTCTGCGGCGCTTGATATGAAAATTTACCGATGCGCGTGTACTGCGTTAGCGGACGCGTGGTTTCGTTATAGCACTGCATGTGAGTTGGCGGACTGACAGACGCACTAATCCACTTCAATTCATTCACTATTCACTTTCATTTTCGATTTTATTATTAGCTCACTATTCGCTGCTCACTTATTATCTACACTCTATTTATAAAAAATCGATTTGTTGTTTTTACGCCGATTGGATACAGTGGTGCACGCGGAGCACGCGTCTAATTTCTGTTAGAGTTGCGGAAAAAGCAGCGGTTCAACGCCGACTGACCAACTTGACTGCCTTGGTGGTACAACGTGAGTGTCCAATGCGCCAGCTAAGCCTGTTTGCTACTAGCCTTTTAGTCTAGTGGCTTGCTGCCGCTGGCTAACTGACTTGATTACCTTGTGGAAGGGCGTTCGATACTAACATTGAGCGCTGCATGATTGCTCTGCCCATTGTTGTTGTTATTGTTGTGTTGTTATGACTGTTGTTAGCGCTGGCCATGGCAACGCTTTGAACATTTGCACGAGTGCAACCCCCCGAAAACCACCACCACACTGGCTTTGACGTTGCGAAGTTTTCTTCCACCAACTACGTACTAACTTGGCTAACTAACTAATAGTCTGCGTACTGCAGCGCACTGGCCAAGCCAAGGAGGTCACAAAGCACTATTGGTAGTATTGATTTTAAGTCTTGAGCTACAACAATCACACCACCGAACAGGTGTAATGGTGCGCAAGTGGAAACGAATATGAAAATGTTAAGAAAAACAAAACGAAATGAAGGAAATTAGTCTTTTGACGGTGCTGCACCTAGCAATTCGCTAACCTTCTCAGCCTGTACTCGCTAAGTAGTAGTGGGCAGTTGTAGACCGGCGACGGAAACGGCTTTTAGCGTTAAGCGTCTTCGATTTGTTGTTTGTTTTGCTTGAGCTGCGCACTCGCCTTCGCCTTCGTGAGTGCGAATTATCTTTTTTTGCGGTCAAAAGGAAATATTCCTTTTATTATTAGTTTTGGTTTCATTTTATTTTCACTTTGCTTTTCATAATCTTAATGACGACAGAGTGTTTCTTAAAGGTTACGCGCACTTCGTTGGGTGTGTCAATGGCCTATTGAGCTTGAGGTTTGTCTGAGGTAGAAAGAGTAGCGGACTTTGTAAGTTCCGTACGCATAAGAAATGTAAACAAATGTTTATTTGTTGTTATTATTATTTTTTGTAACGAAGAAATGCAGTGGGGGTTGAAAGAAAATTTAAGCAAATGTTGTCTCTAATTTTATACTGGAGCAGTATTTCTGAAGCTTATCAGCCACTTTGTGAGTAGTTTATGGTTATGGTGTCTGGTTGGAAATCAAATGATTCTATAAATTACAGTTCATAAGAAATATAAGACAAAATACATGCTATCGTGAAATAATCACAATAGTCGTGTAAAATATAGTCTTCTACGTCACTATTGAATATGAGGTTAAAAGTAAAACCTTGATAACAATTAGCGAA